GCTCTAAACCCAGAGGCTCCTCAATACTCACATAATCATAACCAAGCATCAAAGTACCCCAAATTCCAAATAACAGTAAGCAGTTTTAACCATTACATAAGCTAAAGAATTAAGGAGGGCAAGCAAATTTTGCCCCGAAGCGTAGTCAAAGCCATGCGTTAAGTGGGCGTTAAAAGTGCTGTTCCCATCAGTTTGACCTTTGGAAACCGCTTTAATTTCAGCCTTAATGACAATACACATTGCACTGAAGAGGGGGTAGCAAAACTCACCATATTTTGCTCCCCAAATATTTAAAAAACGTATCCATTACCCAGTTTGCCTGCCTCACTGTTTCAGGTTCCGACGGTGTACCTGCTCTATTTTGAGTTCCTATGCTATTGTATGGCTTGACGCCTTTTTTGCCTTTTGATAAAATCGAAAAACACAAAATCATTTACAAGAGTTTGCACTATATAAAATGCTGAATTAGAAAGCCTGGCTGTTCAAAAAAAAATGCTGTGGAGGGCATGATTAAAATCTACGTGTCAAGCAATGAATAAATGAAAATGGTTAGTGTTTGAATCTTTCAATCTTTCTTGCATTCCAGCCTAATTCTACTTGGCAAAACTCTTCGGTTTAATCAGGCAAAAGTTGATGACGTTTCGTGACCGAAGCGAGTCACTCCACCGTTATGAAAATCCTACAAATTTAGCGGTTGTATAAGCAAACCCAAAGGTACGGTAAACTTAAACCGCAATGCTTGGATTAATAATTTAACGCTTTGTTTTGGTAAAGCAGACACTTAAAGCTCCTCTTCTCTTCATTCCGCCGTTGAGCAACATGACATTTTGGGCCATGCAAGTACCTTCCAAGGCCGTCTGTACATTAGCAATACATTTCCTGTCCTAGTATTATGACTACTTTCGACCTCAGGACAGACTCAGGGCGCTACTTCGGTGGCAGCGAAAAAAGAACCTAATTCTAAAAGACAACTACCATGATTTCTATTCCCGAATGCCAAACTTTAACGGGACGGATAAGGACATATGCTGTGGATGAGAGAATTTGTGACGACTCCCAGCAGAAGGATTGAAAATGGCGGCTACCTTCGGAAACTACACCAGTCCCGTGTTTTTTAGAACTGCCATTTTCTACTAAGGCGGCAGAGGTAAACACGCGACACCTCCTCCACCTGTTCAATAATTGAACAGATTCCAGATAGGTAGACATGGCTGAGCAACATTGCAGTGGGAACAAATTGGCAAGGAGAAATGGACATGAAGCCTTAATCCATGAAACCCGGCATTCTCACGACCAGCGATGGGCATACCTGATAGCCAACACATTCTTCCCTCCTCAAGGCAGTTCCCAAACAGAGAAAAACTCCAGATTCAATAGAACTGCCTAGACGGATCAATGACGCTGCGGCCGGGTGCCATCGCAGTTGCGGGCAAGTTCGACGACCAGCGATGATGGTTCGTGGGTACTTTACATACATCATCAACTACATTATGGTGGCGGATGGGGAGGTTGACCAAAGGAGCGCCGGGAACGAAGTTCAAATGAGTATTATGTACTTAACTCTTCATTTTGGTTTCGCGAGCACTTGAGGCTCCACCTTTGTGCATCGGCTGGGCTGTGTGGCCTCCAAGCTCTGCCAGCCCTTCTGTAGGTCGGTGTTACAATAGGTAGGGGAGCTACAGAATTATAAAAAACTGTAAATAAACGTAACATTAAAGAAATACTCACTTCGTTGTTTTAGTAACATGCAAAAGTTTGGATAAACTTAATTAATTGGTTGATAATGTCAGCACCAAATAAATTGTAGCGGTGTTAGGCCATTTCACCTAAATTCGGAAATCGTAAACAGCTGGCTTATTTTTAAGTAGATGGGATAATTATAAACGCATTTATCTAAATAACTGGTCAAGATATCAAATCCAATTTGTTTTTGAAGAGGAATATATGAAAGCAATAACATTTGCCGTTGGAGCCCATTATTAGCCTTAATACAACTGTCGCCAGTTCCTAAAAAAGTGGTGAGTAGTTAATCCCCACAATTTAAATAGCCACTTTAAAGTAATACTTCTGTCACAGTCTCCCAGATGTTCGATAGTTAGTAGGTTTTAGGGTAGGGAGGGATTTTTCGGATTATTGCCTTCAACTTGATTTCAATAATTGCTTGCGTGAGCAAAATCATTATGTTCAAAACGCGATTCGCAGAGAGACTTGTCGGGCTGAAGGGGCAAATAACAGATGCGCTGATTGCGTGCGCTAAAACACGAAACCTTGATCCCACTACAGTTGTTACGATTTCGACGCTGTTGGTACTTGCGAAAATTGTGAGAGGAAGGGTGTTTGAAGACAGAAAAAACATGTTGGAATTCAAAATACGGGATTGTTTCTGTGCGTAAAGGGCATTTAGACCACCGAAACCCGATAGCAGTTGCTCTGATGTGTGAACCTGCCGAACGAAAGTTGAGGAAAGCGAGTAGTGGCTGATTGCAAGTTTTCCCATCGCAGTGCAATGCCTGACGTCGTGGGATTCAGGTGTCACGCACGCTTTTGCCTCCATGGGTTGACGCAAAAACCAAATTTAAAGGAAATAATGTACAATTCAATTCAATTCAATTTTATGTGCATAATGCATTGATAGTTTTTTCAACTCTGTGTTCGATTACGTGGATGCTTAAGTCTCCACAGATTAATCTTCCTTTTGGTGTCATGGCGTCTGCCCCATTCTGACATCCTTAACACTTCTGAAAGACTCGGGACGCTACACTGGTAGCGGCGGCAAGCAAACCCGATCATAGGGGACAACCATCCTGAACTATAACGAGACCGAAGAAGGGAATATGCTGAGCATGGGAGTGTGCATAAAGCCCCCTAACAGAAGGTTTGAAGATGGCGTCTACCTTTGGTAACTACCCTAGTCTCGTGATCTGTAGGGATGCTATTCACAACTGAAGCGACACTAGCCGTCGCCATAACCATCTGAAAGTTTGCTAAGGAGTTGTTAACGGTACTTGCATGAAGATGTCACTGATGTAAAACCACGATACCTTCTCCGCCTCCCTATCCGTCGCATGGAACCCGGATGAATATATGGCTTGGCAGCATTAAAATGCGAACACGGTGGGATGAAGGTAAGGAAGCGAAATATTATCCCATGTAAACATTTAAAACCCCAGCCTTTACTCAATAACTCCTATTTTAGGCCGGTAAGGGGTCACGACATAGCCAGCATCATAAGGACAGCGCATTCCCCCCCCCCCCAATGCATTTTCTAAGCGGACCGAAAGTCCAAATCCACTGGAATCGCCAAGAGGGATCACTGGCATTGCTGTCAGATAACGTTTCGATTACACACAAATCTACCCACTGGTGCGGTCGGTTTTGTGCATTTTTTAAATAAACTCCAACTAAGTTGTGGTGGTTGGCGCCGAGGGCGACTCCAAAAAGGTGAGGGGGGCTGTGTAATACTTCAACTGTTTGCTTAACATAGCATCCTGATCACGTAAACACTTGAGGCGTTCGGCAACATAACCTCTAGGCCACGCCGATAGTCTCAGCTCTTCTGAAAGTTTTGGGGAGCTACAGTATATACTAGAGGAAAATTGGTATTAAGGACAGGAAAAATGACTACTTAAGGACCTTTTTAAATATGCATGCGACATTTCTTCAAAACATTAGTTCATGTAAAACTTTTTCGGCGGTGTGATCCATAAGTTTATTTTGAAATAATCTACTAAATATTTTGTGATGACAAAATGCTTTTTGCTAAATGGAATTTCTCATTTATTATAAATTAAGCAGAAACGAAGTGAAAGTTGTTTATCCAGTCGCAATAATCCAATTGCCTATCTTTGCTGGGGATTTAACGATAATGCGCGAAATGAGAAGTAAATATACCGAATAATTTGGCCCACTATTTTCAGCTGGTGAAAAACCAACGCTAACAACCGGTCCGCGTCAGTAACCAACATAAAGTTTTGTTTAAAGTCTGAACTCTGGCAACTTAAGATCCCCTTTACTTGCTGTTAAAATATAGCTCTTAAAAGCTAGATTTAGAAGTAATTCATGCCAGGAAAGCGAAGGACAGCTGATTGTAGCGCCTTCAATGAGCACACGCAACTATAAAGCCTTGAGTTTGCTCCATCCCATTGTTTGTTTAAATTGGGATAGCCGGACAACTTACTGCAAATTGTTTGCAGCGCTTCGAGGCTTCTCTAAGGGCAAAGATAGAAAAAACTCAGGTAGAAAATGCACTATTACAGTAAAGAAGGGCTAAGAGGCTACTGGTATGGCCCGGAGGCCCGTAAAATGGCGGGGCCCCTAAGTAGTCCGATACCAAAACCGCAAATTAAACGAACGAATGGAATCACGTGCTTTGTCTTAAAACGGATTGTATAGACTTTTGGTGTTCTCCGTGACAAGTCACAACTTCTCCACTTCCATAACTCACTGTTTTTCTATCTTGCACACAATCGGTTTTAAGACATGGCATGGTTCGATTTTCGCATCTGCGTTTCTCCGAGCATAAGGAGAAAACCTGTATAAACCGCGGTATTATATAAAGGCAGTGAGGGGTGATCATGTTCGAAAATTTGTAGCATTTAATTATAGTTGACGCAGTGAAACAACAAAAGCGATATTTAGTAGGGTAAACTGCTTGTTAATACGACATCAAAGGGGCTGGAAAGCTATGCAATTTCCTTGAGGGGGATCTCTTGACCAATACATCATGAATTTACTGAAGTGATGTACACCTCCCCCTATTACTCGCGAATTAGACGTTGATAATACAATCATGAGCAGTGCGAACTATGCTAATACGGCAAATGTCTCGAACTTTGTTAATGAGCTGAAGGTAAACCAAAAAAAGCGACAAAAGAGATACACGGACACACAGTGAAGTACGGTCTCTAAAGCGCAGGGATAGCAGAGGAGATTGGTTGAATCGAAGCGCCTCCTTTGATTGGCTCTGCCCCTCGGGTTCTTTGAGGCGTATGGAGGTAGTGATGGTGGTGGAGGTGGCAAATTTCTGCACACCCGCGGAGGGAAAGGGAGAAGATAAGTTGGATAAAGACTACGAGCACTTACTCCCTGATCTGCTGGTGGCTGAGCACAATGAACGAAGCGACTGTGTGTTTTGTCTTACTGACCAGCCTTGTATGTCTAGCGAAAACCCAGAGTCGTGGATATCAGAGAATACTTGGAGAAAGCGCTCTTCGAAAATACGTACGTGCTTATACTTTTGTGCTCGTTCGCAGTTCGCGATCTTAGTTTTGCATCGGGCTTACTTTATTAAGTATAAGAGCATTCCCTTGCAAGGGTTTTAGAAAATGCCTCACTGGAATTCGTTACCAGCTTTCAGTTCTTAGGTTTCACTATTATTCAGAGCCTTAAATCTCCAAATGAGCTTTTCGGAGATTTGTCGGGACTAAGTGGTGTGAAGCCCAGATTGTATGGACTGCTTTAAATCCCTTCCCAAACTATGACGATCCCCAAACGTATTTACCATCCTCGAATACTTTGTCCTTGATACCACGTTAGCAGTAGGCTCATGGTAAGGATAAGCACATTTCACTCACTTCTCATGCATCAGGCGTCACGGTTTCCCAGGTACGGTGGAACCCTGACTTATGAGAGGAGGCCGTGAACAACGTGACAGTGGTTTACTCGTTCTTGTTGAATACCAAATTTCCACTCAGACTGGTTTCGACTATGTTCACACACAGCTTGGTTTACTTAAATAAACGGTAGTAAAATACCATCTTAAAGAATGCACTGGCACAAAATTTTGAATTTTAGTGCTCCGAAGATGGGGAAGAATGCATGTTCTCTACACACTGCTGTCCAGGCCTCTACTGTGCCCTGCAAGGTTCGATTCCTTGATCATGTGAAAGAAGATTCAAATGTGAAACTGCCTTAAAAAACTTAGCCCAAAATCCAAGCTTGTAGGATGCCTCATAGGCAGAAGCCTTCACTCGTACATTCCCCCTTGGCTAAACTAGCATGGTTTGGCGGACTATCTAGGCACAGATCAATCTCCCATTTCATGAGGATGTACTGTTTAAATCTACTAGCAACGCATTAATGCTGCTGACTGATCCTTTGCATCAAAAAGTCCGAGAAAAGGTCCAAATCTTGATTTTAGAGTCACATTTTATATAATTGAAATTACTTTACCAGTTTACCGTATTAACAGCAGTAAGCTAACATCGTACTCAGTGCATACAAGTGATATATTATGTCCCAAAAGTTTAAGAAACCCATATATGATCAACATTTTAATTATTTATATCCCCGTGTCATTACAGACCCTCTCGGAAAGAATGTCTCATAAAATTAGGTATTTAATGCTCATACACTTGACTACAAATTTCAAATGGCCATAGGTATGCTAAATCTTAACCATACTCAATTTCCTTTCCACTCCTCCTCCTGAATCCTAAGCAGGAAATATCGGAATTTGCCTCACCCACGAGTCGGTCCTGACCAAATGCCTCTCTGATGCCGACTGTCCCGAGACAAAGTGCTGCCATCGTCAACGTCGCCGCGGTGGTTTTGGTACTTGCGCCTACGTGTGCGACGATAACGAGATTCTGATGGACATGCCCTCCAACTTGCCAGTGGGCAGCTATCGGGGTGACGACTTCTGGAATTACTGGCTACACAAACGCCACTTCACCACCCCGCGGCAACGCTACTTCCATCGTAAATGGTAGACGTCACCAAGACGGTTGGACTCCGCGACCAGTAGTTTATTGTATTGTACGCTGCTATCAGCAATAGATGCATAAAAATGACTGGCGCAACCATTTAATTAATCTTTTTCATGTTAAATTAGTTGGTTTAAGTTGGATTTGTAATTAGTTAACGGGAAATGTGGAGATGTGATGGGATGCTGTAGGCGACAGAGTAACGAATAGGTGCATATCCTTCTTCATAACATATCACTACATGACACTTCACTGATTCTCGTCAAATGCCGACGGAAGTATGCGAAAGCTAATTTTTATGGGAGCACACATTTAGGGAAAAACGCCTTGCCCTTCAAACGAAAATATCCCTGCATATAATCATATTTCTACACCCAATTTACTTGAAGACCGTGAGTTGTTACTAGTTACGGTTAAAAGTATTTTTTGAAGCGGAACACCAAACGTTCCCTCTCACGCAGTTATAACGTAAGTAATATTGCCTCGAAGACTTTTGCGAGCTTCGATTCTTCACAGTGAAAAGACGCACGTCGATTGAAACAAATTACCACGCAGTATATTCATATAAAGCATTTTCATTTTTTGAAGTGCTACACCCCAAGTTAATGAGAAGATGGGGATAGGATTGCTTTTAACGCTAAATCGTCCATATTTGGTGGTGGAGGACTTGGGGGGTGTTTGAAGCCGCGCTCGATGCGCTTCGAAACACATCGTCGCTTGCTCTTTTGCACACGAACGTATTCAACACAAGCCCGGTTAGGAAATAAACAAAGCTAATTGTTGGATTGATAAAAAGCGGCATTCAGCCTTGCAAATTATGCGTCCAGTTGTAGGCTGCCTACCTAACTAATGCATAGCGTGCCCAACCTTCCTGACTCTGACATCAAACAAGTAACAATGGTTCACGGCCACGGCTAGCGTCGCTTTAGTTGTTGATAGGATTTTTGTAGAAGGCGAGACCTAAGTATTTGCCTAGGGTAGACGTCAGTTTCGACCCTTCTGTTAGGGTTTGTCACAGAATCTTCCATCTGCAACATATATTCTTCTCCCATCACGCTAAAGCCTAGCATTTAGTGATAGAAATCGGGGCCATTGCCCTTTAGAAATGGGTTTGCTTTTAGCTGCCACTGATATAACGTCCCGAGACTATCTCAACAATAAAAGAAGGCATAATACCAGGGCTGAATATGCATCGCCTACGGACAAAAGGTCTTGGGGGCCGGGTGCATGGCTCGGAGCCATGCCGCTTAGCGGAAGTGTAGTGGCAGAGCCTTAAGTGCCCGCGAAATTAAAAAGGAGTTAAACCAGCACTCAAGGCATTGTAAATACTCTATCCCTAAGGTGGTATTATCAACATATGAAATTAGTTGAGTAAATGATCAACGCTACATTTGTTTCACATTGTACACTTGTTTGTCGATCGACTCAAAGAGCTAACTGTAGAGACGGGAAAATCCCAGAGGATTTGGGACTCGAGGAGGAAGAAAAAGCACAGCCACTGGCCAAACATTTGATTGGCAAACTGAATTCATGGGATGTTTAGGGTAGATTAAGGAAGACAATTAGAAGAAATGGGTCCATTGCAGAAGCATTTAGTGAGTCTCACCACTCTGAAAACGTGAAGGTACCGTGACAGGAAAAACACCTTAAATCAGGGTCTTGGTGAGTAAAAAGGGGACACACTTACCTCGCACATTTCGTGATGGAAATACTAAGTGCTTCTGTGAATGGTAGATTAATGCAGCCTTGTAAAACGTTTCAAGTTTATTTGTTGTATGGAAAAAGATTAAACCGACTTGTTCAGCGCACATTCTTTGAATCCTAGAACTTAAATACCAAACTTCCAACATTGACTATGGTTATTTATAACACTCCTCAATGAAAAGTTACATAGATTTGTACTTATTTAAGTATTTTTGAATGCTCGTTCTTGATAACATCAAGGCGTGCTTTTATACTCATCACCGATCCCTACAAAAGGGCAAGTCATACTGGCCAGAAAGCGTTAAAATGGCACATCAACACCGATCCCATATCGTGCCAGAATGGAAAAGAGGATTAAGGTGGAGCAATAGAGACTTTTTTGGATGAACATCACGCTCGACATAGCCTCCTTATAACAGCCTTATGCCGTGTGCGGTGTTACTTCATGGTTTTTCTACGGACTGTAATGGAACAACTTTTAACACACACGCACAAAGGGCGGAAGAGATTGAGGGAGGCTGAAGGTGAGAGGAAAACTCCAATGGGGTTAGCAATATACACTTATATCTAGGCTTCTGTTTATTCGTCTTTTTGTGTGTCTGTGTATGTCTTTGTGCGTATGCACCCATTGGAAGGCTTAGAAGAGGTGTTTCTTCGAGTCCTTGGAATTGAGTCTGCGGCGAACAAGGGGTCGCAGTGTACCGTTCAACGTTTGTCTCAGTGAAGATAGCATCTGGGGTCGGCGGGTAGCGTCCCGAGAACAGATCAACGGCTCCTCGGTATAGATGAGAGGGTTGCCTTTCGTTGACATTAGCGTCTGATTATCGCCTTTTGGGTAAACTTGAATAGTTGGAGGCCTACAATGCATTGTAGGGTAAAAATGTAGCCGTGTCACGCTTGAATAGACAAACAGCCGTTTCTAGAGAAATGTACTTCAAAAGCAACGTTATGGCGACCAAACTTTTTCTTTTTTTTAATATGGAGTCTTAGGGGAGGGGAAGGGGAGCGGACTGCAAAAGCTGAGAGCCAGCTAATCTCACTGGAGAATGTACTGCAAAATGGAAAACTGCGGTCGTTTTAAAATATAACACACAGACAAGATTAGGATAAATTTCATTTCATGTTCAAAGAAAGTGGTGAAAAAATCATTTGCAATGCTTAAAAATATTTGTTTTTAAGAAAATAGTAGCATAGTACCCTAAGTACCTTCATCCTATGGAATAGCAGTTCGTTTAATTTTGCGTCGCAGTGTTGATTTAATACGCTTGACTTCTAGAAAGCGCTTGACACATTCAGAAACGACCAAGGCCAAAAAATTGACAGCTCCACGAAGAAAGTTAATTACTTTGCGGGAATCCCAGTGAGAATAGGTCCCACAGCGGAAGTAAAAGAAACCTTCTTCGGCGTAGTTTGTGGAGTGAGTTTGAGATTCACTGTTGCGGCGGCAGCAGAGACATGTTGCAAACCGCTACACGTGGGCATGGGCGGGATTAGCTTGAGAGGCACGAGGCAGGCCTTAGGGTCAGCCACGCGTCGGGTGGCACTAGCTCTGGGGTGCGTAGATGCTGTCCAATGCGTGTAAGTCGGCGTGGTGCGGTGGCCTGGAGAGACCAGACTCAAGCGACTCGTCGATCGGTCTGGCAAATCATGTTGCACAATCGGTGGCAGGGGTGTGTTGTGCATCGTTTCCGGCATGGTCACCTTGAGTGAGGGTTCTGCCAAATCCTAAAACAGTTAGCAAGAGCACTTAACGAAACATCCAATTGTATACTTTTCTTCCACTGAAAAATAACCTACTATCTTAATTGATTTACCTGTCTTGTATTTTCACGAGATCCTCTCAAATTAAGAAAAAATATTGATGCTTTTAATGAAGTTCGCTATCGAAGTAGTATGAAACTTGCCCCAGGTATGTTTATTTACTGAGTGCGAGTATCCAGCCCAGTTCCGATTTATTGAAACAAGGTCTTTTGTAGTGCTACCTGCTTTAGTTAAAACCAACTTTAGTATTTCTCTCAGATGATGTTTTAGTTACCATTAGAAATCAGTGGCATACTGAGAACTGCACATTGCTAAAGCAGTTGTCGTATAAAATGGCAAATTCTGCCAACCGAAATGCCAATGACAGACTAGAGCATGTTCCTACAGCTGTGCGATCCCGCATCCCTGTAATTATCATTTCTCGGCTATATCTTGAACCAAATCTTTTCTCACCAACTTTGCATAGTTTGTTGTGAAATAGCTCATTCTAAACATTTGTGGAGACAGACGTTTATGACTAAACTGACTAAAACCAACACATAATTGAAAAGGCCCGTGTTTCTCGATTTTTTTAAATAAGAGATTTTAACCCCAAACGCTAGTGCAAAATCAAATAACCTAGTGATCAAGAATATTATGTTTGTGAAAGATAAAACCTAGATGAAAATGTTTCCAAAAAGCCTTCGATTCGATTGGCAAGAATATCAAAATGAGAGGTATGACACGACACAAGTATTTAGAGAATGTTAAGACTCCAATTATTCTACCCCTCTTCGGTATATGTAGGAATAAAAGGAAACCAAAGGCAAAATTACGCTTGAGGTTTACAAAGTACGTAAGGCCCCTCACCCATTTTAAAATATTTCCAACACCATTAATCGGCTGAGAACACTAAAACTTCTCTCAAAATATTTATTTAAATTAATTTTAGGAAATAAGGTCTCACATGCTTTCAAGTGGGATGTCAAAATTATCGTTTGAATGACCATTGTCAACCTTTACAGCCTTTCCGCTTTTCTAGACTGGGTGAGGGGCCCTAAAATTAGCAACAAATTATTATTATTATTATTATTAGTGCACTATTTTTAGGGGGCTTGAAAAGCAAAAGTTGTCAAGAAGTGTTGACTTACTATGTGATTTTCAGCGTAAAAGGATGAATTTTCAGCCCATTTTCGATGCAACTCGCTCGGTGAATCACCAACAATTGTCGATGTGTTCTCTTTCAAGCATGATCCTGCTTTCCGCACCTTTTCAGCCCTCTGGACAATGGGCGAATGACTTTCAGCCACAATGTGTCTACGAAAAGTATATTATAAAATGGTTAACATCAATGCTCAAGAAAAGAAGCGATCGAATTATAGGTAGTATCCAGTGCAAAATGGTACAACATGATAGCAAAAACATAATTTTGCTTAAAAATGAAACCCAAACGTCCGAGTTAGACCATTCCGAATATGCAGTTCAACAGACTAAAGATAAAGGTCATTGTTTGACAAATTAACTAAACTTAAAGGTAACAAGTATCCTCATAATTAAACTTTAAGCAGGTTTTGACACGACACCGAACAAATCAATACCCATTAGCAAATTTAAACCTCTTTTTCGATTCAAGCTCTTTTTTTAATAACTCATTCTTCTGTAGTGCTGATTGAAGTTGTGCTTCCAGATCCCGAATTTTCCCCATCATCAATATTGCGTCTGCATCTTCCCCTGCAGGCTTCAAAGACCTTCGCTCCAAAATAAGCATATGCTGAAGTTCTCACACAAATACAAATAATCAGGGGAAAAACCTTACCACTATTTGACTTTTTCAAGCGTTCTACTTCATTATGCAACGTCATCAGCATCTCTTGATGATTCTTTTTTAAAAATTCGATGTTTTTCTGTAGCGTAAAAATCTGATTAGCTCTATGGACGTTAAGTATTTCGTTTTCACTAGTAGCAGCTTCAGTACGTATGTTAGCACCACTATTAATTTCCGTTTTTACCATGGCCATATTATTATCAACGCTTCGTTTTTGTGTTCTACCTCTTATAAAATCAGACCAACAACTAGACACTTATAGTCATAGGCGCTCCACTATTAGACCAGATTGATCCATCACTAGCGTCCATAGAAGCCTAACTAAACAAATTTCATATATTTTGAATTTTATAATCCATCCTAGGTTCGAGAACTAGTTTTAGGTGAAACTTACGACCCCACTTATCGCACCTAAAATTTTAGATGAATTCGGCAAGAATAAATAAACATATTTTCTAATTTAAACCCAGACTACTTTTAGCACGCCGTAAAAATAGTTGACATGACATGTTATCGAGAAAAAAATGGACTTCGAAAATGAAGAAGGATAAGCTATACGTATTTAACAAAACTTAAAAATAAGCAAACGACTGCAAATTTATACCGTGTTTTATATTTTCGATGCGGCAAAACCATTTTTAGGTGGAAAAGTGGGAACGAAACTGGCCCAGTAACCTTTCTTAAGATCGAGTCCTAAAACAGCATAGCATTTGATTTGAACGTGACAGTTTTAGCTGTCATTAATAGTAGCATTTAAATGTTTTGTTTGCTTTATTATTTTTGAACAGATGGCATTTATTCATTTTAATTAACACACGTTTCTGCGCTCTATTTAACGATGCCACCTGGTCTCTTACCGCGCTCGTTGCGTCAGTTCGATGCATTTGCGAAGCCACTTAAAGACTTTCGGATACAAACGGTCTCAGGAGCCTTCCGTTTGTTATATAATTTTTGCTAACTTCTTTAGTTTCGATTATTTCTTTGTTTATTATTCTTGTTTTGTTTGCGTGGGAAGTCGCTGACTACATCTCACCTTCTGTCAAGCAGGAAATTATCGTTGATATATCTCGCAATCGTCATATGTCGATCAGTTTTGATATTATCTTTCCCCTTGTACCTTGCTATAGTAAGAGGTTCGCCCTTAGCCACTATCTTCTTAAAAGTGCTTTCCGTGGACTCAGTGGATATTTCCGGTGAACAGCATTCATCTATAACAAAAGAAGTAAATAAGACACGTGTTTTGAAAGATGGAAGTGGCGTTGATTCCGGTAAACACGTTTTTTGTGTCTCACAATATAGATTATAATTCCGAGAAGATGAAAGCTTTGGAACAGAAACGTGTAAGTCAGTCATTCATTTCCTACAATTCTTTATAGGATAGGAACTATTGTGGGTCGTGTTATGGCGCAGGTGCTGAAGACAATCAGTGAGCATGAATATAAGTACAAAATATTCGGATGCAGATGAATAACGCACTTTATACGTCTCAGATGCTGCAATACATGTGAAAGTGTGTTGGAGGCTTACCGTGTTCGCGGTTGGACTATTCCAGATCCTGACGTTTTTGAACAGTGCAAAGACGAGAAAGAGGCGGGTAGTCTGGCAGCCATCAATCAGGAGGGCTGTCGTCTTGTGGGACAACTTGGGGTGAACAAGGTTGCTGGTTCCTTTCACATCGCCCCTGGAAAGAGCTACGGCCAGGGTCATGTTCATGTCCACGATCTTATGGCATTTTCTGGCAAGCAGGTGGGTCCAGATCTATTTCTCGTCATTCCCCTATAAACTCCCCCCTTGTAAAATGCCTACGATCTTTCGGTCAAAGTTATTTAATCAGAATATTACTACTTTTCTTGATTGTGGAAGTAGTATCAAGTAACGGTTGAATTTGTATGGCAAGTTAGTAAGAGCATTAAGAGTCTGATCTAATTTAACGGGGCGACGCACTGATGTTTTTTTTTTTCAAATAACTTCATTAAGTTTGTTAAGGTGCCCTTCTAGTGTGTGCCCTTATGGTCTTTGCTTCTACTTTTCTGTAAGATGCGTGGAATGCGTACTTTTAGCCATTTTCCTGTGCGTTAAAATATTGCTTTGGCCACTTGGAGTGTCGAGCATGGATAAATGTATTTTATTGTCTTACAACTATTGTATTAACAACTTGAGCATGCTTAGGCACTTTGTACTTAATGCAATCACTGGCAAAAGTACTTGGGGGGTTCAAATAACCCTTGTTTATATATTTACACTATGTAGTTTGTATTGGACCACCAAATTCGGCGTCTGAGCTTTGGCGACACTTATCCTGGTCAGATAAACCCATTGGACAACACAAACATGTCTGACAGTACAGGTATTTTGTTTTATTCAATGAAATAGTTATTGGTGGTATTATTTGCATAACTCGTTTGTTGATATGCTTCCATCAATACTAACCGGTGCATTACACCACTTGTCTCCATCCACTTACCAATATTTCATGCCTGTACAATGTTGCTGCTGGGTATACGGGCCAAATTGAAAGTTTGAGTGTTCTGGCGGTGCCTCATATGGTTCATCTCGTGTTTTTTGATTAGTCGAGGTCTGAGACTGTGACCAAAAGTTTAAATTTAGTTGATGTGTTTGCGAGAGGAAGATCCGCTTCGATGAAAATAACGCAGTCACGAGTTGTGCGATTTTGACAACGGTTATGGTCGACTTTGGAGTTGCTAACGTATTTAATGTTTGATTTTGGTACTTGCTTGCTTTAGCATTTAGTGCCTTTTCGATGCGAAATTCTCAATTTTGCCTTTAATGACAGATGTATTAAAAATAATATTAAGTGATTGTGATATTTCATGCCCAACTTGGAAATCGACTAAAGCACACTCTTTTTGGTCTTTTCAAGAATCACCAATGATTTCTTATTTCCTCAAATTGGTACCAACAATTTACTCTGACTTTTCGGAAAAGGTGAGTTCGTTAAAAGTCCTTTTACGTAGCTTGTCTATTCCTTAATTTGGAAATAATCAAAATTTCACTACCATGTGCACCAATGTGGAGGAAGGTGACTTGCAGGTCACACCAATTCGCATAAAGGAAACCTGGCTCATCAAATATTAGATTCCAATGTCCTTTAACAAGTTAATTTTAACCTCTCTATGGAATATCGTTCTCCTAAAATTTGTTGGGTTTTTTTAAGTGAAATAAAGGAATGGTTACTGCAATTAGTATCACGACTCTAACCTTCGATTCGTTCTGCCTACTACTCGTGGTTGCATTGGGTTGTAGCCATTGGTGACCAACCAGTATTCGGTCACTTGGCAAGTTAAGTCAACTCCCCTAACAGGGGGCTCCGACGGCATTCCGGGTGTTTTCTTCAACTACCAGATAAGTCCACTTTTGGTGAAACTCACCAAAGAACGGAGGTAGGTGCATCTGGTTTAGCCAATCCTCTTCTCCTCTGCGAACACTTCAACTCAGGTGCTTGAGTCCTTTTAGATCCTTCCTGCATTTCCTGACGAATACTTGCGCCATTGTTGGTGGGGTTTACACAGGTAGGTATCCCTTTATCCTTCAAATATATTTTGGAATTCGTCAGTCACTTTTCGAATCAGTAATATGAAATTGTAATCCACCTCTCAAATCTATGAGATCGGATGCCAACCCATCCATCATCCATGTTTCCTACATTTGATTGGGTCAAATAAGTCTTTTTTTAAAACATTTAAACCTCATTTAGTAAATTGCACTTTTTCTTGTAATTTTAAATGTCTTATTTACTGAGGCTTAGAGTTCACAAGTACAAGGATTCTATCGTTCGTTTGTTTGCATGCAAAATTGTAAGTGGTCCCTTCTCGTAAGATGTTCTTACACCACCTGTTTTTCGCAACTACTTAGACGCTCCCTAATCCACCGATTTCTATGCGAAATACGGTCTAAATCCCATACTTACAGCCAGAGTTCTAGTGTGTAAACGGGAGGGTAGTGTTTTAGTGGTTTTTTTTAACAATCCGTCCAATGCACGAATTGTATGCGGTTGTTTCGCTTTTCACCGAGGCAGTTGCAAACCACACTCAATTGGTGCCCTCCCTGAATTTCCATTGCATTTGATTCGAGGAGCCGTGTTTTAGCCTCTCTTGAAGGTTTATGCGTTTTAAAAGCGTTTCTCGAGAAACCGCCATCTTTTTTCATTCAATTTTTTGCTATTTATTTGCAAATAGGTAGTGTGTTTTGTTTAACCAACTTGGCGCTGTTTTTAACGTCTTTTAGTGGCGAGTCTTCTAGACGCCTTTGTCTACCGCTCCTCATGCTTTCTGGCTAAGTTAAAGTGATTTCGCTTTTTACGACTTCCCATTTCCTTTGTGATAATGAATAAAACTTTTTTGCAATCGTACTCTTTTACTGCTTTTCCATGCATTTCAGACGTCACTATGCATTTTCATTTTCCCAGTTGCTTGTTTTTTTTTATTTTAGAAGGTTGAGTTTATGAACATTGTCATGTGGATATTCTTTTTATTCCTAAAAGTGAATCCCTACGGGAGTAAGTCATCACCGTACTTTGGCCTTACCGAGTAGCGAATGTGAGATGGTTCTTGTGAATCTCATCCCAAGATTTCTATAGAAAGGATGAAACAAAGTAGGAAGACTGTGAACGGTTTCTAGACTATTAGTGGTTTTCTGCTTAAGGGTTTTAAATGGATAGCATATGGCAGGTTATTTATGGCGGCCACGCGTGCGATTCTGTGGTGGGTATATGTTAGAAATCTTTAGCATCATTAATGAACCGAAGTATAAAAACGAAACAAAAACATTGCCTATCCTTTATGTATGCAATAGTTAGTGATCCTTTACTGGGATATCTACCGGGTCGCCATTTGGGATTGCGGCCGAATTCGACCAAAGACTCGGGCTACTTTGGCTGGCGTGCGCATTTCCGACTAGTGCTTACGAATAAGTGCTTTGTTGTTAAAATAGTCTTTCGTTTTTAGAAGAGGTGGTTTCGGTTTCCGATAAGGAGGGAAAATTTGCAACGTTTTTTAATCTTTAAGTTGTACTCTATCGTAGACACACCCAACGCAATTACTTGGTTGCCCTTCGTAGATCTGCATCCTCGAGCAGTTAGTCTTTGAGTGTGCTTCAGTTAAGGACCAATCAGCATTCCGATGGCATTGTTTGTTTGTGCAATTACAGGGCTGCATCACAAATGCCCCTCTACTGCTAAGATGTGAAATTTTTCTCTTTAAAGTAATATTTTGATGTTTTATTCGGTTTTGAGACTTCTTGCTGCAACGATTTGTGCAACATAGTCGATTTGGGGTGGCATATGCCACTATCCAGCTGACTAAGTAAAATCCAGTTAATCAGCTGGCAGAGTTTGTAGGTCATTCTTGGGCTTTGGCGGCAGGGGGTCTGCCAAAGTTGGGGCTTCATTGGCGCCTTTCTAACCCTCCTTTTGTGGTCCGCATCCGAACGGCGCGAGCCTTTGCATTGAGTCTGTTGCCCGTTTACGCTTTTCACAAAAAGTGCCCTGCGTCCGGCGTTTGGGCGGAGTAGTTTGCATTGTCAAACGCGTTCCGCTGATGGCTCATACACCTGTTTACTGATACTCATTTCATGCACTTCCTGTCGACGTTCCAGCAATACCCAATTTTAGCTGGCACACCTAATCCGCAAATCAATGTTTTCGTCTTTTCTTTGTTAACGCGAGCGCTGAGTTCAACTAGAAGGATATTTTTTCAGGTAACCTGTGCTATTGATGCGGGGAAAGGTTGTGCGTTAGGTGAAATGTCCTTCGGGAGAGGGAATCACCTCTCCAACTTATTGTTCTTATGCCTATTTTGCTGTCTGTTATCATGTTCAGGGGGTCGGGCCAGAAAATGTACAAGATGATAGGAAAGAAATCCGAACAGCTTGTTCTTTTTTTAAACTGAAAATGAGTACTGGGCGGGTCCGGAAATGCCGTCTCGCATTGCGACATAGAAACAATAGACCCACCTTCAGTTTCTTGGCGTATGCGCAGCCATCATCAGTCGTCTCGGGCAGAGATTCCCGGAACAAAATGGTGGTTACAATGGGCTTCTATTGTCAAATTGCGGTACATCTCCTGAATCGGCTGAAATTATGTTTAACCTGGCGTGATGATGTCAAAAATTGTGGTAAAATTATATAACTCGTGATATGTACAACCTCATGCGATTGAAACGACTGAAGAGCGCTTCAAGCATGGGGTTTGGTGTTGGAGTCAAATGGCCTGCATGAACGCAGATTTTGTTCCCTTTAACAAAAGCCTCATTGTCGAACTCATTCAAGCCCGCTGAATATGATGACTACGATTGTCATCGGGAGCATAAAAAAGGTATCAAAAAACTGAATCCGCAATAGAATTTAGGGCAAAATGGCTGGTTTATGTTTTTTATTTATTTCTTTTTTCAAAAAGCATTCAGGCTTCATCAATTAAACACGGTGGGTGAATGAAGAAGGCGCTTCAAAAATCCCTTGCTATTTCTCTATGACTATTGAGAAAAGGAAATGAAATGTTGAATCCCCAGACAATTTGTAGGCGAGCAGGAGAGATTGCTCAGCTTCCTACTGGCAGCATGGAGTGAACTCGTCTCGGGTCTTGCCAAATACAGGCCCATAATTAGTGGGGAGAGAAATTGAAACAAAAGGAGAACAATCGGGGAAAATTAAAAGGAAGTGCAGTAAATTCGAGTAGCATTTTGCAAGGGCTTTTTCACACAACAAGTAGAAACATGGGCAGTTGAGGTCGCAACTACCGAACGTGTTTTTCAGTGGGCATTCACGTTGAATTGTTGAGTTGAAAGTCTGCCCCACGCAATTTAGCTATTATTGCTCGAGACATAAAAGTGTGGGGTTAGCAATCCAAAAAAATTCACAGAAAAAGGAGGCACTTTTTTGAAGATAGCCAGTTCGTAGCTGGACCCCTAGACTGCGGAATGGCTGGGCTTGACATGATTTATTAGTCAAAGTGGAACAATGTGCATGGAGCGGTGAGTTGAAAAGAAGCTCGCTCTTTGCCGGCAACAGCGCAGTCGACGTTGCAGGAGGCGGCGTTGGTTCAATCAGGAGTTGGCTAAGTTTGCCGTCATTAAATTATCGTCATCAGAACCCAGCCTCCTCCATTTTTTTATTAAAATTGATGGAATTCGGTTTAGTCGCGTCTGATCTAATCTGCTTTGTATAAATGAAATGGAAAAGGGGATCAAAGCCTGCCGCCAAATCTGCTTTCTCGGGTAGCACCTAGCTGAATAGCCCAATGCGTAGTTCGTCACACCAAACAGGTCTAACTTCTCGAGCGATTTGATACTGCTCCGGCCGCGGTGGTTGGTCACATCAAAGGAGTTCTAACGCTGAAAAAACTACGGAGGCCTACAAAACCGATGCAGAAGGGATGAATATTTTAGGCGCGAGGAGACGGAGCATTTTACTTGTGAACTGTTGAAAATTCATTCATATTTTTTTTAGTTTTATGACTGTTCAGTTGGTTTTCTTAGCGTAGGTTTTATGTCGCATTTGCGAGAACCGAAAACTGTGACAGAATGAGAGACTCGAGCAGAAATTTCTACTGTCTAAAATGGGTGGAATTGGGTGATGCTGCGGTGGCTAAAAATAGCCATGCACACTAGTAGGTACTAAATTAACTGCCATTGAGTTTTACGTTCTTAAAATGGGTAGCTAGCTAATTTCAGCTATCATTGTGCTGGGTTCATATATCTAGCATTGTCAACACCTCACCTACACTCCATTGTCACAGCACACTAGGCCGATCCAGTTCGCGATACCTCACAGCAGTCTCCTTATACCATTGAAGAAGGAGACCTTAATCAGTCGATTTGTGTCTATTCATGAAGTCCTACCAATGGAGAGGCAGCAGCACTTTGGACAAAGGTGAAATTCAAGCCAGATTTGAGAAGCTCACTTCTGCTTAATTCATCCCTCAATAGGGGCTGTGAAGAAGACGATGGAGGTTGCTGAAACATCCCTCGTTACCTTTTCATGCCGTTTTGCGGACGCGTCATAGCTAACCATTTTGTTGACTTCCATTTTAACCTTCCAGTGAATTAGCCAACCACTTTATCCATGAAGCTTAACCACGGCTTAGTGACACGGAATTTACATTCTGTGGGGAACAACCATTCCAGTGAAATGCATTAACAATGTCGATTTCCCTCTATTTGATAGCACTATTCACCACCAAGTGATGAACTGATTTGGGGCATTTGATAGGCACCCAAAGCAAACACTTGACTTGGGCTTGATGGGACGTGGGAGCATACCTCAACATCACCTCCACCGATATCAACCAAGCCACAGTGGGCACGTGAATGTTCTTGAAGCAGGGCCACCCATGACAGTTTAAAAGTGCCCAAACGTCAGCTCACCCATTTTCAACGAGCTATTTTAACGTCTATAAAAACCTGGTCTTGTACGACTTTCGAATTTAGACACACACACTAAATTCTTCCGAAAGGCAATAAAATATAGTTGGAAAATTGGCAGACATTGTTTCCTTGTACTTATGCAGGGTTTAGTACAGTGAATCATTTCTAAGAACTGGGTAGTGTTGACTTTTCGAAAAGTTTTAATTACTATTGTCTACAGTTTCAGTCCTGCTGGTTTGAAACTGGTAATGTAATTGCACCACCTCCTCTTGTCCCCAGTCGCAGTTACTTTGTTCCTTCAAACGACTCCAGCTAACATTCAAGACAAATTTATTTCTTCCATTACTCCCATATTTCTGCAGAGAAATACCACCAGATTAGTGGCTTTTAGAGCTGAAATGAAAATCGGCGATTAAACGGTACGTCATCCACGATTGAGACGGGTTTTTGGATGGCAGCATATGGGAAAACTCTCATTTCTAGTTTATCTAAGTTTTTTGAGCTTTCAGGTATTCTTGTCTCACGGTGGTTCCCTAATGGGTTTTGAATTCCTAAAGATTAGACTTAACGCTTCAGTGATCTGACATCAACTTTTCTCCTCCACTTGCTCTGTCTTAAGGATATTTCTTCACACTGAAATAACCGAACATGCTACTTGACACCTTTAACCGGTACAATAGATCATTAAATACAGAAAGAGATTATAATCTCTAACCTTTTCCATAGGTTTTCACCTACTTTGGGTATGGAAACTTTAAGAGTGCCTTTGAACTTATTCCAAGAAAAGCAACCTTTTTAACATATCTGTTTTTAAAAAAGTTTTGCCATATACCACAGCTCAAGACCTCACACTACCTTGATTCTCCTCGAGGTAAGTATAAAGTTTCGTCGGGAGGAGTTTGGTATTGATATTAGTCGAGGCAAGAGATCTAAAATGCGACGCCAGTCAAATGAAGGCAGCTGTATCCGAGGCGGACACGTACAAACTAGACTCAACCGATAATTGGCAGAACAACTTAGATGCTGACCAAAAACTACAGCACTACTTACAGAATGTTGTGTTATTTTAACAATGTTATCACTTTTTTCCAAATAGTTTTTCAAGAGTGAAGTGGAGACAGAATAACACATCAGGTAGCAATTGACAGATGCTTAATCTGCAATCAACATTAGATACAAAAATGTGTGCAAATTTCTCCTAGCAGAAACAGTTTGATAAAGGTGGCATCAACACCCAACACCTAATACATTAATAAAGAAGCCGTCATCAATCATGTTTCCTCACCGCAACCTTAAAATTGCAAAGTACGAGTTATCGCGGTGGCGGTTGGGAGGTCACAGCTGTGTCAAACTAGTGTCACTTATATATGTTGCCCTGTTTTCTACTGAATTCGTCGTCACAAATATGTGACATGTCAATTATCCGCTTATAAGTGGTAGCGAAAAGCGTTATGCGAACACAGTGGTTGAGCTTATAGCAATGAGGTACCTGCAGGAGATTCTCGGTTGGGGAATAATTGCAGAATCTAGCCTTTGAGCACTAGCCGAATTGGTAACTTCAGTGCTAGTGTCATATTAGATTAAAATACATCCGCGACTCTGGTATTGAATATTTCACATAAGGTAGCACATATGATCTCAAAGCCTAATGAAACAGGACCCTTATGAATGTGCCCATTAGAAAGGGCATTTGAAGGTGTTGAGCCCCCAACTCAAATGCTCCAGACTCGGTGCAAGTGCAGGGTTAATTAAATTTCAATGTTGTCATCACATGCAGACATTAAAATACAAACTTTTACAGCCTAACATAAAGCTTCCTCAAACGAAATTAACAGCTTCTGTATGCTGAGTGTTAAGACTCCTTTTTGACACAACTGTTGCCCCATTAATTATCTCCTGCACCTGCTTTCAAGGTGAAAAAAACTACTTATTTTCACCTCTTTCACTTATACAGAGTAAACAGCTTTTGTGCTGGCCGAGCACTCAGTAACACAACCCACGTACCAAATCTCCTGAGATAACTCCGAGCCTGCGCTTCAATGAGATTTGCATCGTCAAATCGCATATTCGTAGCTCAGGGCCTATTTAAGAGGGGATGGAAGGAATCTCAGTAAATGTTAGTTTGTTGGAAAATATGCTTCCAAAACTCTTTAGAAGAGGGGTTTACGGCTAAATAGGAGGTTCATCGAGGGGCGAAGATTGTGCGTGAAGAGGAATAACCAGACACTATGGGGAAAGTAGCACACAGGTACGCGAAAGGAACGTCGATCGCACAACAGAAACACCTCAAACAACGCAACATCATGAAAATCCGTTTGCATAGCCTTTTAACTGAGTGGGCGAAAAATTAGCTCTGAAAGGTTGAATATGATCATTTCGACGAGCTTAATTGTTTCTTTTGTCACTTTAAGGGATTAGAGGCCAGCATCTTTCAAATGAGGTCTAATGCGATGAATTAATGTGTATGGAATATGTACCCATGAGGCGGAATGTGCGTTGAGTTTGAATTTCCCAAAGTGGTGATAAAATATTACCACGTACTTAATCCACCTTAATTTGTTTCAGAGAACGTATTTACCCTGTGATATTTCACAGAATGCACTGGATGATAAGTTTACAAGTACTTGGAGAATTTACAGTCTTGACATGCAATAAGTGAAGCGTTTCATCTTCAGGTAGGGGTGCGGTAAATTTTATATAAGCTAAATGACTTTTCATAATGATAGATAGCACTTTTACATCCAATTTCTGAGTGCATTTGTAGGTAGTGATAGCCTTTTAAGCCCTTTTCATTATGATACTTTTTTTGACGGACCTAATTCAGTACTACTGAAATTCCCCTAACATAGCGTCGATTCGTAAAACCGCATTTTTGAGTAACGCTTTCGTCCTTCAAACATTTAACAGGGACTTGTAGATTATGCTTAGTTACCATACATAAACTTCAGACTTACATTAGAAGTTTAAATCACTTTCCTTTCATAACGATTAGAAACTCACTCAGAATGTAGGCCATTTACCACATCGAAGGGGTGGCATGTGGGCGGTACTAGAGGAAACGAGAAAATCACTCTTAAGCCTTAAAGTATAAAAAAGAATCTTTTTATGCCTTTGCTCATTCATTTTCCTCTCCTATAGACATGGGGCAGATAGCAGCCAGTTGTAATTCAGCTTAGGGTTGGGGTTTGTCAAACATCAGCAGCACGACGTGGCTACTGTTTTCTGGCTAAATCATTTATTAATAACGGATCCGCTACGATTCCTCACTAAGCTGGAGAATGGGACACCTTCAACGCTGGTTATTACGAGAAATGAATAATGGAAAACGTGGTCCTTCGCGTGGCGCAGAAAGGTCTGCGCCGATGTCTGGAAAGATTGATGAGAACTGAAGGATCAAGATGCATTTGTTTGGCCAAGTACATATTGGGAATGCAATTTAACATTTGAAGAACAATTGAAAGGGAAACTTACGCATTACTTGCACCTAAAGTGAAATGTAGTAAGCAGAAAGGCCAGTATTTGTTTGAAAAAAAAGGCAAATCTATCTGTAAACATCTATTCTAGAAGTACACTGTGGTGCTTCCACGATCGGTAGCGATGAAAGAAGAGCGTCACGAGGAGAAGGACGAAAGAGACAAAGAAGACTAGAGTTGGCCAGAAGGCCGAATGGAAGATGGTTTGAGGTCGGTGAAATTTTTTCAACAGTGCCTCACGGCTGCGGTACTTGCCGGAGACAAAACAGCGGAACTTGGCGCGCGAGAGTAGACGCATTCGAAAGAGTTCAACCACGTATTTGTTGTCCTCCGGTCGACGGTAACACGTGGACGTGACGCACTAAGCACAAAGAGGGCACATTTGATGCCTTACAAAAAAGTTTTCACTTTCTTAGCATTTTTCTCCGAATCTGATTGAAGCCTCAAGAACCAAAAGGGAATTACTTTTGTTTTAAATAAACTTAGAGGGGATGATCTTGTATTTTGAGGGTGAACATATTTGCAAAATATTAGGTAGCAGTGTAGTGCCTTGACGGCTCGTTTAACTGTACGTTTTGGTTACGCGGGCACTCAAGTCTTCGCAGATGGTGCTTCCACTCGACGGCATGGCCTCTGGGTCATGCCAGTAGCCTCTTCGCCCTTCTGTATGTCAGCAATACATTTTCTACCATACAAACCTGACTTCCTGCAACTTCAGGAAAGACTGAGCGCTACAGTAACGATGTTAGTGCTCAGATATGCCATAATGTAGTGTTTATTGTCATGACACACGCAACGAGGTGCGACGCAAAGATTGTATCGCATAGCTGAAGATATGCACAGGCGATGGAAGTGGTGGAGCGTTTTCAGATGGAAAATGGAGAAACACAAAATTAAAAGTTAAGATTTATGCCACATTATCGACAAAAACCCGGGCTCAGCAGCATTTGCGCATTTCGAGTAGGAACAAACCTCGATTGGCCCCGGACACCTTTCCCACAGTTTAACAGATTGGTTGGAATTACCGTGGAATTTCAGTAAGAGAACAGATGAGGAAGATGCATCTCTCGTTTAATTATAGTCATTTCTGTTGTTGGTGTTTCGCAAGACCACTGGAACTTGAAGTAAATTAGCTTGCTTTCAGGGTAAGCATTACAAGTTGAGCCGTGTCTCCGCTTTGCTCATGGCTCCATTTTAGGAGGGACATTTGAGTTGCAGGCCGAAGACGCTCCATAAAGGTGGAAGATCCGATGAGTGTTAATTGCAGATTTCAATTTAAATGAGTGGTCAATGCGAATGTTGTCAGCCTTTACTCATTTACCGAGGCAATATGGTAAAATCCTCTTGCCAGCCTGCAAATTATATTGCTGTTCGACTTTTCGAAAATGCTTAATTTCGAAACAAAATACTTTATTAAAAAAGTCGTTTATTGAAGTATTGTGTTGTGGGAACTTGTACGAATTTCCTCTCCGCATGCATTTACAGATTTATCTAAATATGAGCAAAATTGCAACCATTCACACGGAGATTTAGCATAACAGATACAGCCTTAGCAAAAACACAGAGGATTCCAAAAATTATTCACATCAGATTTCGGAGTCTGAATTTGGTGCGGAAAGTAAGTGACGCAAAGTCTACCACTATGGTTAATGTGCACCAAAGGGCAGGCACTGCCTTAGCGTCTGCTCCGGTTATCCCCGCATAAGCTGGTTTTTTGTTTTAACCGATCCTTTACCGCAAAATTTAACCAAAATTAGGAATGAACTTATTCTTTTACGGGATTGTTAAAATGAAACCATCCCACAGTTCGAAAACAACCTTATAAAGGTAAGGAAATATTTAAAAGCATGCTTCGAGGTTGCCACAGCAACTGACGTGTCTTGTTTAGGCTGAAGCAGAGACTGAAGAGGCGTTTTTTGCAGCTTGGGAAAAGAGCCCGAGTCAGGCGAGGAGTCTCTACTCCCTCACAGTAGGCTAAACTTTATTGTTTTTTTTCTTCCCAAGGTCTAGTAATATTTGTTAAGTAATTTTTAAGAATCCCAAAATTCTCGGACCAATGCTTGATGGTTTTGATGTTGTCGGTTCTCTTATTATCAATTGCAACATCACGCCTGCCCATTTCATTGGCAATGCACAGGCGGGCGGCGTGTGGCGTCATCAGTAAAGCAGGCATCCCGATCTTCTGTCAAAGAATCACTTGTTTTAAAGTTTGTTATTGCCGAAACTTTTTCCAAATCATACAACAAATCTCAGTCCTTAGCTTGAGAAAGCTTAGCCAATGACACCTGCAGAAGTTATGACCGCGGACCTCGAGTGTAGGGTACTCACCGTGTACCAAAGTCCACCTCAATGATACATAGACAGTGATCAGCCTAAACAGAGTCTGCGTTTCCATCTACTGTACAAATTCAACCATAGCATAGCAAGCTGATCTAAAAAGGGATCACAAGCAAACTAAAATATCCCAATTTACTCATTCACCGTCTCCAATTCCATTGCAGACAACTTTCCTCCAACGTTTTACGCTTCTTTACTATCATCACAGGTGATGTAAACATGAGGCTGTAGCTGTTTATCCTGCACCGTAGAATTAAGTAAAGTGACTACTTCTCCTCGGTTTGCATAGAACTAGCGCTTTGCCAAGGTCTGTCAAGGCAAGTCGCACCTGAGCAATAATTGCCCAGCAAGAATGTTTTTACTGACAACAAAATTGGTCATTTCGTTTGATTGAGGGTCAAAAAGGAGGTAACATTTTAGACATAAAACACCCAAAAGGTTACCAAACTAGGCTTGCCGTTTCTTTTAAAAGCAACGATAAAGAAACGGTTATGCCTTAAAAGCTCCGCGCAGGAGCGCTTGGGAAGGCATTCCGTGTGGACACGGGTACCTTATCTCTGAGCACAGGAGAAAAATGCAAATAAATTCCACTTAATAGAAAAACAGCTAAGTCCAACTTCTAGCGGCTTATTGAGAGGAAGGAAGTGACAGCAAACAAACGCTTCAAAGTGATTGGTGAAGCATCTGTGAGGAGGCTACTCGTATACTGTAGTTGTTTGTTTGATACTCGGTTTTGGTAACAGTCCGCTTAGGGGCTCTGCCATTGTGCCTTTGCCGGGTAGCCTGGCCTCCGGGCCGTGCTAGTAGACCCGGATCCTACTGTATGTTGACAATACATATTCTGATGGAGTATTATGCCTTAATTAGTCTTCAGGGAAGTCTTGAGGAGCTACACATTCATATTCTTTTTAAAAGCCGTAATTTCGGCACACCAGGAAGCCTATTTGTTTTTGGAATTTTTAGAACTAACTAAATCACTCACATTTTTATCTAAAAAAATCTGCAATAAATCCACCAAAACAGTTTAAGTCTACCAGGGATTAGGAGCTGGGTGGCGCAGTCATGATTGAACGATCCACCTTTAAAACAATGCAAAAATTATTTGATTAATAGACAAAATTTCTTGTTTATTTTGGATCCATTGTGAATTTTTTTTCAGGCACATCTACTTCTAATTAAAATATTCGAAAATTTTGTGAATGAATCCCTGCTTGCCTTTTAGTTCTAATAAGCATAAAAAAAGGGCGCACAGCTCTGCTCAAGAACAACTTTATGGCGAAGGAAGTGCGTTTCAATTGCACTCAAGCCTCAGACAGGAAATGTCCCTCCAATTTTAATTTTAATGATGAATGTAAGTTCTTCATTTGTGACGAATGGACAATACGGTCTCCTTTACCTGCATACTCAAAATGCTAGGTAAGGAAAGACGGAGAGAAGTGAATGATGCTTCGAAGCTGAGGTCCTGCGTAACCTTCTCTCTACCTCGGATATTTTTGGTTGATGTTTTTGCCCCATTGGTCTTTAAGAAAGGGGTGGCGAACACCTATTCTCCTTTTTTGACGTAGGACACATAAAACTTGGTTTTTAGCCGGGAAAAAAAACCTAACTGAAGAGGGAGGGACGCATTTGAGTTGCTGATGAGATATTATTTTGAGGGTTTTCATTGCCAGTGGAGCTTGCCTCATTAAGTATGTTTATGGTTAGCCTTGCAAGTGTGACTGTGTTGAGCAGTGAAGGTATAAAAAACTGCCATAAGGCTAAATTAAAGGACTAATCTGGGGATCACGTACTCCTCGAGTGGAATAAAGACCAGGTATTAAGAATATAAAAAGTCCGAACTGCTGGAATATTAAAAAAAATCTCCCCATTAAATTTAGGCTATCCTTTCGAAATTCTGTCATTTAAAATGGTTTAAAACGTGTGCTTTTCTTTGTACATCGCAATCTGTTAGACATTAAACAAATCACATTTTGGCATCAGTGTCAGGTTAATGCAATGACAGACGATCAAGCTAAACTACCTGATGGAGTCATTTAAATGATAGATTCGTCAACTGAGATGCATCCATCTAAGGAAATGCAAGTTTCAGTTAACCTTCAACTGAGGCTTTACACTCAGTGAGCTCGTCATCGCTTGCATGCCTTTCGACAGGGGTACGCAAGGAGTGCGCCATCCTCCTCCCCCCGAGACCTCCAAGTGTAGGGAAGACGCAGTCATTATGTTGTTGTGATAAAACTTTTGCGCTTTTAATTTTAAAGCCAAAAAATGCAGATTCCGTGGTGTAGTTTTTGATTCATGAGCACGAATGCAAGCTTTGGCGAAGCCTTAAACAATCAAGATGTGCTAATTTTAGAAAAATCCATTTATCCATGTAATTTGTTACATTAAAGGAAAGAATTAAGGAAATGCTACATGCAGCCATGTTTTGAATTTAAAGTAACCTGAAACATTACTAACCGATACTTAAATTATTTTTTTTGCGTTGGTCTGGGTGAATCTGATGTAGCATCTCCACAGTGTGTAAGCCTAATGCGGGAACGTGCATGTGACTTCTCGGACTTCTACCGAACGGACGAATTTGGGAAAAAGAAAAAGGCAGAAATTCGACTCAAGACAGCTGCAAGTGGCGGGATCTATGCTCAAATTTTTAAGCAAAATGACAGGCTATTTATTACAAATCCAGCGGTTTCTTGAGGGCTGAGACAGTTCCACAGCACACGAAAGCCTAAAGGCGATGATGAGCCAATTGAACTTCAGTGCCAGTGCATAACTCACAATAAAATAAAATATCTCCCTTATAAAGCAACACAGCTCAGGCATTTGGCAACTCATTAAACTGGTTCCAAAATATCGGTTTGATAGGAAAAGCAAGGCCAAATGGGAGGGGCAATAAAGCGGGCAACTCACCCCATATTTTTTGTAATTTTCGTGGGTTCCAATGGTATCGAAAAGTTTGGCACTGTGATTCCGGTTTTCCCATTCGTACAACGCGTGCACCTTGAGACAGGGGAACTGAGATCGATCCTTTGAGCATTTATTCTCGCACCTAAGCATGGGCATGTCGGGTTCAATGTAGTGGAGGTAGCAGGTGGCCTCCTCAAAGTATGATTCATGCAGGTAGGGTAGGATGACGAGATTGATGAGGATGCATTCAATGATGAGGGATATGGTGAGGGTGGTGAGGCAGACTATATACACAGTTTTGATCAGAAGACCAGTACAGAAGGTACCCACAAACTGGTCAAAGGCGGAGTAATGCGCACCCCGACTCGCAATGGCGTCGCGTCTGGCATAGGTTCTGCGATCCCCCAGGTTGACAGGCCCATCCGGAATCAGCATGATCATCGACACATTGATACCATGATTACTTTCCCTCCCCCCAAGGTTCTGTACTAAGCACCAGGCCAATTTGGGCCGGCCATGCACGCGTACCGTTAAAGTCATGCTCCAGCCAATGGAAGGCGCGCTTTTTCGAAATCTGTTATTTGATTGGTAGGATCCCTGCCCATTTGATACATCACCAGGTTTGGTTTGGAAAAGATCCTCATCCAAATGATGGAATGTGTCGAGCAGAGCTGGGTGGAGAAAACTGGTAATGCTTGGAGAATGAAGTGGGTTTGAAGATAAAAAGTGTTTTTCCCGCTGTTTCAGGACACCTTGACCACTTTAATGGATTTTGCTTTCACGGGAAGGAAAGGAAGGCATCTCTAGAATCACTTTTTTAGGGATGACAAAGCGATAAAGAATATCAAGAAGTAACGTTAATTTTCTACAGTTGTTTACAATTGGCACCAGATTTTTTCGCCTTTGGTAAGCACTGAAGGGACTGCGTAACTTCGGCGGGGTGGTGAAAGCACACCCGTGTTCCTACAATTGTATTTCCCTTGTTATCATGGAAACGTTTTAAGTAGATCCTGCGCATACTAGGGCAAATCTATAGTTGGTTTACAGGGACCAGTTTACCAAAAACTGCTGAGAGAGCTTTCACCTCTGCAAAATTCCGAGCAATAAGTTGTTGAGACCCTCTATTAAAAATGGCTTATTTTTTACCAAAAATAAAAAGCTCATCCTATACGCAGATGCCCGGAGTACCCTTTTTCTAACCAAATATAAAGCTGGTTTTATTTCAATTTGAGAATCTAGGTGAAGCAGATAGGGATAAAGAAACGCACCCTTACTTCAGTTGGTTTCCAGCAGTCAACGCTTCTGGCTGTAGTGTGGAGTTCATTGCAATCACCTAACTAACTACTGACTTTATATCAAACCTCAAACAGTCTAAGACACAAAAAAGAATGCCTACTTGCTTTTCGGGACGATCCACGCATTTCAGTGAAATGTCAGGGACGCATCATCATTGGCTGGAGTAGGTTACGAGCAGGAAAGAAGTGGAAAACTTGTGAGTTTATCAAGATTTGACAACCAAACGGCTGACTGTTTGGAGATGGTGTGACTTGACACACATTTGGGCCAGTTCGCCTGTTCAGTAACAGACATGCAAAAAGTAAAGTAACTTAAAGGACAGCGTTTGAAAGGAAAAAACCTTTTCCACATGGTGACAAAACTCCCTCTTTAGACTTTTGGCACGATTATTTTTAGCCATTTTAGTTAGGACAATTGTGATTAGATGACACTTTGTCATGTCGGTAAAAACCAAGACAAGAAGCGGGGCTGTCTTTTCACCTTGCACGGAAGTCGTATGGGGAATCCACAGAAATGGCCCTCGTCTGACGTAGTGATTTCGTCTAGTACGAGATCATAGGAGGGCTAAAAAGATTTCCGGCTAGATATTATTACCTTTGTACATATAAAACTGAATAAATATGCAACTGCGTTGGAAACATTGAAATCCTTGCGCGAAATAGAAGGCACAACGATCGCAACAATAGGAAACCTTTTGCAGTAAAGCAGCCCGAACTCGAAGTAGGCAGTTGTACCAATGAATGATTCGATTCACGGTTATCAGTAGCGAAGTACTTACTTTATAATAGAGCCTTTCTCACACTTTCTTGCAGACTTTAGGCCAGTTTTCTCAGTAAGCAGTGCATCGCCGACCTTTCGCACGTCTTTTCGCTTCGGACCGAGTGCAAAAAATAAAGATTAATGTACGTGGGAATAAGTATGCATGAGATTGGAGCGTAGGTCATTTTGGCAAGGTTTCATCATCTAAAATTTTCCCACAAGGGAGAATATCAAAAAAATAAGTTCTCAAGTGCTCACTTCTAGAAGTAACAAAAAATGTGCTTCGGCCACCCGCGCTGCTAGGTTAAAATCAGTGCCCGAAGGGACGCACGTGAAAGACCGGAAAGATATTTGCCGGAATTTATTTATTATCAATTTTAAATTAAAAGGGAAATTCTGTGCAAATACAAAGGACTGAATATGCTCAATTTTGTCTGCTTCACGCTTGGAACACGCAAATCGGGAGACGCAAAACGGGTCTAGACAACATGGAACAAATCCAATTTCTACAGTAGGTATAGTAGTCGCTTTTCCATTCTACTGACTTATAGAGGAGAAGAGCTTGCTCGCTCATTCATTTATTCTTTCCCTTGGTAATTCATTCATTTAGTTCAGATTTTCTTCTCACTTTTAGTTAATTTTCTGATTTTTGTGACGCATGCTAAACAGTTGACAAGATTTACTATGTGATCCGATGACTTTTCCCTCCCTTTGATTGCAGTTCTGCATTGTAAATGTTGCGTTCCGTCTCCCAACAAACACTCCCCCTGCTTTGTTCTGGTGATGTCAAAATGACAAACGGCATTTTTCCACCCAAGTTGGAATGCTATCCATATTTTCTTAGATGTTTGCTGAGAATAAAATGCATTACACTTCTAAGGAGCAAGTGACTTGGTGAAAGATATAAATAGAATTCTTAAGCTACAAATCAAAACAATGGGCCTCATGACACTTCGGAAAAGATCGACTTAATACTCAGTTTTGCCTCACTGGGCTGAGTATACATCCCTGAAGATTTTATTCAACTTCCACTGAGGCGATTGAAAAACGTCAGTGTGCATCCTTTTGAGTTGTGATAAGCCTCAAGAGTAATATCACAAATTATTTCATGGAACGAGAACTTTAGATCAACCAAAGGAAAATTACATCTTAGGACGTATTTGAACTACTTCAAATGATACACGCTGGCATGCCCTTCCCCGTGGTACCCTAATTTGGTAAACTGAGACTCCTTTACACCTTTTGATGTTTCGTCGACACATTATATTAGTAACGTGGAGTGAGCATTCAATTGAAATTCCGGTTCTCCAATTCATTACGAGTGCACCTATCCACGAAGGAATAAATCCTAATTGACTGGTCATGCCAATGCCACCACGCTAAATAGGTCGTCACTTCACCAGAGGTAGCTCCGGGTTACCGTGCGAAACTAACCTAATGTGTGTGAAGAGCCAATGAAAATAGTAATTATACTGTGATACAACAAATTACAATACACAGCTTCGGACTGATAAAACATCCGGATTTCAACCTCGTCTTAAATTAACACTATGAGGTCATTTCAACGTCCTCTTTGGTAGCAGCTTTTTTGTCTTTGCTATCCCGAAAGCTGACCGAGTACATCTGAGTGGCCTCCTTGTAGCGCTGAATGTCGCTGAGGTAGTCCTTATAGTCAGGTGCCATGTCGCTCAGGTAGGAGGGATGAACGCTCACGGAGGGAAACCATTCGGGCAGCATGTATGGCTTCAGCCACCCCACTAGTGGTGTCGGGCCAGTTCGGTAAGAAACGTCGCCGTGGTAGAACAGAATCCCATCCAACTACATCGATGGTGATTGAAGAGATAGAAGCGTCAAATGGACTGATGCAAGAATATACCTACTTAGTTTTAAAAAGTAAAAAACATAATTATGAAGTGCTTAGGAGCTACTGCAATGGTCCAATAGTCCGATTTGCATTATTGTAAAAATGCTACATCAGCTTTGGGCACATGTTCAGGCATGCACTCGTCCCCCAAAAAAGGGTTAAATGTCAGGAATAAGTCAACAATTGTGTCCCCTTTTCGGAAAAAGTCCCATTATGAAACCACTAAAGCAGCGAGGAAGTCTTCAAACATCAGAGGAACGTTCAACATAAATGTGGACAAAGAATATACAGTACTTTGAAAATGTCTCAAATAAGCTCCCAATCTTGAAAGTGGGTTTTACGTAGAGATGCTGAACTGAACAGTTCAAAATGGAAACGACGAATACATCCCAAACTGCACTCGCATGATGCACACCTATACTCAGATATCATTGGGATAAGCGGAGATTCAAACAAACTTCATACGTGTATTAAACCTAGATTGAGCATACTTTAATGGAATAAGCTGGTTCATATACAACTTTTGGGATCGCGGTGCGAATATTAGAATTAAGACCTTAAAATAGAAATGGAGAATGGCTTAAAAACGAAAGGTGTCACAAATAGGTGGAGCTTCAGCTAAACGAAAGTACATCGACAAAACGCAACAAAAAAAACAGTGGGAAAGACAAAGGAGAAGCAGGCTTTAAAAATCCGTTTCACTCTACAAGTGCGTGATACAATCAGGGAACATGCTGGTTATGAACCAAAAGAATATACAGACTTTGGCAACGCATCCACCGGACACAAACAGTGGAAGACAGCTTTTTAACCAAAGGAAGAAACTAAACCCACTTAAGCCAGGGCTAATATAAGAGTTCAACTTTCAGCCTAGAGAATGGAAAATGAAGTTAACAATTGGCTACCTCAAAGGGAGGAGGAGAGGAGAAAATGGAACTCAAGGTCTCCGAATCACAGCTGTAGGCAGGGACAACTTCGAACCGAGCCTACAAGAAGGCATTTAAATTAAAACACAATTCAACCAGAAAAGAAAATTAGACGACAGCGACGTACTATATCGTTCGGTTCGTAAGCCTCAATCTGCTCCCTGTGAAACGATTCCAACCATTCACAGCGTTCATGGAACTAGAGAAAACAGATAGTGTATGTCGTTAAAAAGGTAAACATTACATAGCAAAAAATGATGCCTTCCAGTCGCGAGGAGTTTGTCTGAGCCCCAGAGAAAGCAAAACTTTCAAGTGTGAATTTCGTTAAAGCCAATAATCCGCATAGACGAAAGTAGGATTTGACATTATAAGAAATCTCAGCCTGTTCCTTCGTGAAAGAGTGCTCACACTTTGAAAAACATCGAAGAGCGTTACCGAGATTCTGTACAGCAAACCTTTCACAAAAAGTCCCATAGCAAGTATTATTATGACAAATCTAGATATGCCACTGCCACAAAATCGAGAATTGATAAAGCGCAGAAAAATGCGATGTGGATACGATGATTTATAACAGAGCCTATAAGAAATAAGTTTATTCCACTGTGACTTTTAGATCCAGAAAGGGCAAGCCGCTAGTCGACATTTCCGATTCGGAAGATCCCATATTCCAGGTTAAATGATTTTGCTTTAAGAAACTATTTAAATTATAAAAAAGCTGTCATAGATGCTACAAGCCCACGACCAACGAATTCCAAACAAAGACTCATAGAATGGAAAGCCAGTAAACACCATGGGAAATATTTTTTACCCGCAGTTGGACGTAGGATGTTGATTTGAAGCAAACTAGATCGAGGACCATAAAGATGATATTACCATTTGGAAGCGAAACCGGTGCATCTATGATGGATCGATCTGCTTCATGTGTCATGGTGGCAGAGGGTATTCCGAGCATAATGCAATCCAACGTTGTCTCATAGCGATGCATCTGAGATGAACTTTGTCCGAGACCACCACCAGGCAGCCGGGTCAGCATGGTCGCGAGGCACAGACCTGTTCGGGAGTAGACATTTGTCTGACCCTAAAATGCATGTGAAGGTACTCACTAAAAAGGTAAGCCAAAAGAACGCTCGTGATGAAAAATGATGGAGGTCAGGTGCAAATATAAGCACACAAGTGACAGTTGTATGACGAATACAGATACCTACCCACCTTAGCGGCAGTGACATAGACATGACGGCCTTTAGGACAGAATTTGAAAAGGTACTCTGTTTCGAAATTCGAGGGCATAAAAAGAAACCACTCCGCAAGCATAAGATAGGACTGCTGTTTATTCCATTGGCGCTTTTTGGAACCACTTCCAGGCTTCCCAAAACGTAGACTACCTTTCGTAGGTTCTGGATCAGATAAGCCACGACTGTCATCAAACTTAGCTCTGCGTTTTTTCCGGCGTCGACAATTAGCAAGTTCGGCTCTCCAGCGGCGTTCTTGATCAATTGCATAACCTGCGTTCTTGTACAACAAAAATCTCGGACAATCCGATGTTTCCTTAACACTCGTTGATACCTTTTCCACACCAGACATTGTAGACAGTTCGAAAGAGAGGACATCAATCGAAGCTTCTTCGTCCATAGCTGGAAGCAACTGCGGTTTGAAGTCGAAAACCAAATCACAGGTGATTAAAATAAAAGCGGTTGTATTAGTTATAAGTTTCGTAGTTTTTATCTAACCTAAAATTTAGCTACGATCTCTACAAAACTTTTCTGCTTCTTTATTTAATGACCTCCAAGGACAATTGTCTCAAAGCATTTGATACAGATCGCAAATTCATAAGTCTAAGAGTTTCTTTTTAAGTATAAGATAAATATCGGAAAGGCTATTGCAATAACAAATTTTCCAACTCACCCGCAGCATTTTTAACCTGTAGCTATAGAGGTTTAGCTAGATATAACTAATGACAACATAAAATTCAAAGTTTTAAATTTTTTATTAGTTTAGATAACTATACCAGTTCGAATTCTTTGCGTAGCACGAGAGAGATTTTATTCGTTTTTCAAGGTTGATTTAGCGAGAGTTACCGGTTAATTTGACATAACTTTGGCTGCATTAGCCTTCGTCGGCTGGTTCTACATCTTACTGAGGAGATGGTTGTTTCGTGCGTCGCCATATTAAATTCCATTTTGTGGATTTTAGTTTGGCTGATTACTTGGCCACTGTCTCTTGTATTGGCGGTAATTGAAGTCCTTTTGATTCCATTATGCGTTTGCTCTACAAAGGTGAAAGATGTCGTCGAAGAACTCGACCGAATATCAAAGGTGCGTTTGGCTAGGGATAATTTTTTATCATGCCCTTTTGTCACGGTGTTTAACCTGAGTTTATCACTTGCGCTGTAACACATTTGTGCACTGTGAGTAAGATGTGGGCTGGTATCCTTTGGCAGAAATTCGTCTGCTCCTTGACCTTATATTGATCTAATGTGCTCTTGCGTGGTATGTGCGGCTATGTAGAATTTGTGAGTGTGATTTAAGGACACATACCCATTGCATTCTTGACAAATACCTTCGTTTCTTCTCGTTTGCTTTTGTTCTCTCTGTCATACGGTTTATTTTCTTTGATGTCTTGAGATTGTTACTTGAATTGCTTCATCGTGCATTATTCTCTTATTTTTCGATTAAAATGCATTTTTAACACCACATTTTTACGATATGACTCGTAAAATTCATGCTTCTATTTACCTTACAACCATCAAACTATAATTAGTCTACCTTTCTTCACTAAAGGCCCTCGCAATAATTTGTTTTTCAGTGGTTTGCCTTCGTGCCCATGGAGAACGCATGCAAAATGAAGCCTATCCGTCCCCATCAAGACATTCCCGTCCCAACCGATGAGTCGGGATCACCCGACCTTGTTTAGGCCTGTTTTTTCTCGATCCCCTTTCTCCCTAGGCACCTATTGAGCGTGTCCGCGCTGCGCACTCACCTGATTATTTGCATGCACAAGATCATGTGTATACCAAATCGTCCATCATATCCTTTAATGCTTGTGTGTTCCTCTTTTTTCCGCATTTTTTCTCTGATTTCTTCCTTTTTTTGCCCTGTGTTCTACTTCTCAGGCATTTCATAATTACTGAACGCCTGTTTGCGCCACTTTTTACCGTCCCGGTGAAGAAAACAAACACACTTTGGTTGTCGTGTCGTGGCATTGAAATTGTGCAGCTTATTATAATATTTTTGCTTTGAAGGACTTTTAACATAAATTCACACGGGCCTTGAGTTCGTCGGAATTCCGCTGAAGTGGTGATTAGATGAAAACCGAGTCTTGGAATCCTGTCTTTTTTGCGGTTTATGGTAAAATTGCTTTTGGTTTTATTAATAGCACTCAGCGAATGGGAGTATGGTACAGGAGTTCACTTTGGCGGGCCTGTTGGCTGCAGGTCGACGGGGTAGACGTGCCCTAGTGATATGTGGCGTGTGGATCGCACGCATTCACCCACCATCCGTGGCGTATGAATGGACGACAAGATGTACTACTTATGCGGGCAGAGCTAAACCACTGACAAAAGAAACACCAAATCATGGCCTCCAGTTCATGGGTTGAGCCACACAACTGATTGGTCACGAATGGAGTGACTTAGCTCTTGGGCCACTCATGCATGTAGGGGTTCTGTTTTTGCTGCGGCGACCAGTGTCGCAACTGCCGTCCCTATTGCCTTCAATTCGATTTGTGTATCCCCGAGCCTGATTCTCCTTCTGGCGCTAGCGCACTCTGCAAGTGCACTAGTTTTGGCAGAATTAATGATCCTCGGAGGTCGTCTGAATGTCGGTGAAAGCGCTCATTGCCAGTTCCTCTACCTAAATGAGTACTTAGCTTTTCTCCATTACTTGCTACTGAAGTGTTAGCTGGGTTAAGTTTTTTACCTCTTGAATCTTCTAATGATAAATGGGTCGGGCGTGTTGTAAGTCATTTACTTTCACTGATCTACGTGTTGTGCGATTAGCATTGCATGATCCATATGGCGGCAAAACCTGCTTCACATTCTGCAAATGCGTTCATTTCTCTGCTTATTGGGTTGTTTAGATTATCTAGTCCGTAGCTTATTAATAAACATTTTTTTCTACACAAGTAATCACGTGTTAAGTGGGAACAAGCTGTTGATTCCATAGGTTCGCTTGCAGAGCAGTGCGTTCCTGTGCTGCGCTTTTTCTTTTGGCCATACTGGCCTACTTTGATCTGGTTTCTGGCTGGCGATACCATCATCACAGTCTAACTATTCAACCTTGACGTATGGGCTTAAATAGCCGCATGGGAGTTGTGAAAATGTTCTTCAGAGATTTTTTAGCGGTGGTCAACCAGTGCTAACGCTTGTTCACACTAGAACCTTAAGAGCGTGCTTTTTATAAGCGGTGGGTGCCAACCGTGCTATCAGCCTGTCGAAGTCATATAGGTTTTCTTGTCTAAACCGGCACTACTGATATGCTAATTGCGAAATAAGTAGTAAAAATAACTTCATTAGATGAATATTTAAAGCGCTATCCTTCGTTATACTTTCCCCGATTAAAAGACAACAGTAAAATTAGTACTTCTTTTGCAAATTGCATTCAAAGCTGGCTAATAACTCTAAGTGTTTCTAATGATGCCTATTTCCCTGAGGGCTACACCCATAAAGGGAATGCAACAAGCTCAGCACTTCCCTCTTCCACCTCTACTTTAACATCCTTGGAACGTGCAGATTGGCTTGAGGAGGACACCTTTTTTTGGTAATTATTGGAAAAGTGTACCAGGATTAGAGGTTATATGGGGTTAGTGTTGGTTTCCCCTTCAAAGGTTGCGTGCGTCCTGTCAGTCACGAGGTTCGCGCATGCTTCCCGCTTCTCATCTAAGGCGTACATTCAACCAAACGCGTATTACCTGGAGCTAGTTATTGGAATCTAGAAGTCTGGACAACTACAAAATTTGTATCTCCATATAATTAGTCGACGCTATGGGCGTCAATTTACATATGGGAATATTGCGTAGCACGTGGCGTCTTCTTAGTAAGGAAAAGAGCTGGGCGGCTATAAGTGCGGCCTGAAAGCAGTGTCATCAATACTGAAAAGTTGGCATAGTCTAATATATCATTAAATAAACTTCAGGTCCCGCAAGTCCTCCTCCTCCCATGAACACCTCTCTCAGCGCTGTTATTCGTAACTCTTCTATTTCAGTCATCGCCCTGTAATCCGTGCTTCACAAGCCACCCACAAACCATGGACGAAGTTCACACGTTACTTTTTAAGTTGGTAATGGATTGTGTCGACTTCAATAAGTCTACATATTCTTCCTCTTCATGAACAATATTGAGGAGATCAATTGATTGCCTTCATTTGGAATACGAGAGTGAGGTGACTGCCTAAAGTGGAGGCAGTTTCGATAACCCCACTATTGTGAGTGTCCAGATTCAACCATTCGCCGCTGGCGCCTTCTTTTCGTTTGATAATCATCGCATTAATCAGAGTTTTTGCTCTTTCAGGTTGGGGCTGTCTACATTACCAATTTGGAAATGTCAACTAACTGAACGCGCGATACCTCCCCCACCTCCTCATCAGCGGGATAGGACCCATACAGATATGCCCGAATGGTATTAAAGTGAAAAAAGTGGCTAGGAGGAATAGATACTAAAAATTCCCCCCATTAAACTATTTCAGAATTCATGTCTTATTAATTAATAGTGGTTTCAAACCAGCATTCCTACTACTAGCAATAGATACACAAGATAGCCAGCACATTCCCTTTCCCGCAATACAGTTTCCAAACGGGCCGGTGCTCCTGATCCAGTAGAATTACCAGGAACGATTGGTGACGTCGCGGTCATATATCTCATCAGTTGCACGTAAATTAGATGGATGTCATGGTGGGCTCGTGGGTGTTTCTCCTTACCACACTGAATAAGTTGTGTTGGCTGGCGCGGGAAGTTAACCAAGGGGGGCGCAGGGGCGCCGCTCAAAAGGGGAGGGAGCAAAGTAGTACCGCGGCTGTTTGCTTAGCTTTTCGTTTTATTTACTTGGGCATTGAAGGGCACGGCTATTGTGCTTCCATTGGGCGGCGTTGCCTCTGAGTCATGCCAGCAACCGTCCAGCCATTCTGTACGTTTACAATACATATTCTGCATCAGTATCATGTCTTCTTTCGTCGTCAGGAGATTCGGACCGCTACAATGACATCAATTTGACGATTTACATAATAACTATTTAGCTTCTTTGTACACTGGCTTGTAATTAAATTCTACGCAAATTAAATCTAGCATTTTGATGTTGAACAGGTTCTAACACACACCTGATGATAGGTTCCTAAAATGCATAGGAATTATTGAGAGGTCTCTACCGCCAAAGCCGTCCAATTTTTCGCTTTGATTCTGATTTAGGTTGTTGCATGGTCAGCTAATTTGACTGCCTCATATGGTAAAAACGGAGTCCCATTAAGCCTTTTGGCATCCGATTGTTGTATTTCCACTGCGAATTCACTATTCTTAGCAGGCGAAAATTAACAGCGATTAGATTTCGGTGCCTTCATGGATGACCTTCTCTCTAGCTCACGGAATCATATTACTTCTTGCTAGAATAATGTCTTGAATGTTTTCTTTCACTGAGTATGGTGGATTTTGAAGCGACAAATCACACCCCCTAGCCTCCAGTCACTCGAGCCCTAGCGCATCTATATCAAACATGCAAAGAGAGCCTGCAATGGTCTTGGCTCACTAATGTGATGAAACCACCCGTTCTGTTAGACGCACTACGCCTTGCATCAATTCAGTCAACGAGACTCAAGGAGCTCATTATTTTTTGCTTATTGTAAGTCGTTCCTTCCTGTTTCTGGCACTAAGGCTTATGTCTTGTTTTCGTCTTTTAATCGCAGGTTACACTTATTCACACAACTTTATTATAGGAGGTATCCAACGGCCACAGCAGGTTGGCATATTGTCTCTTTAAATTGATCCAAGTCTGGTGTTTTAATGAAGCCTACCCAACACACACTGTCAACACCAAAGTATAATGAGTTGACTTGCATGCTCGATGAAAGAAAGGGGGTGTTTAGAACATGGGCTGTGACAGAAGTCCCCTGCTCGTCTTGTCTTGCAACTTTTTTTTCTGCGCCGTTTGTTTTACGCCACCAGTGGTGTTTTGGCATTGTAACAGGGTTGTGCAAAAACACAACTTTGGAATACACGTGTCGCCAGCGTGTGGGCGCAGATTTGTCGAGTCCATAGTGGACAGCCAATACGCCATCTTATTTGTTACTTTGTAAGGGTAAGTTATACTACTTTAAGTGCGTTCGATTGTGTTCTTGTGTCTAGTACAAATTCAGTCTCATTGGTAAACTACAGGCTGTGAAGCCGGGTGATTCACATTAGGCAACTGCGATTTTTTACGTTAACACTAAACCAACTACTTGCCCTTTCCATATGGATCTCCCTTTCAAGAGAATTCACTTTCCAGTCCGCTTTCTTCCCCCTGTAAAACATCATTTAGATTACCTCCTAGTTTAGATTAGACATTAGAATAAGTACTGCAGAAAGGGTATGTGATGAACAATTCAATATTTCTTTACTAAATCCTGGAGATTTTAACTATCAAATAATCTTAGCATTGGCATTTTACGAGGAATTAGGCCGTAGTACAGCATGTGAGGGAGTCATCGATAGAGAACCAGAAGTAGACCTATGCAGATTGGAGTGTTTAAACCCATGGGAATTAGGGGTGACTTTTTACGATCACAGATAAAACAAGAACGAACTCATTTACGGACCCCAGGGTGTGTACCAGATCTTCCCTTTGGCCTATCTACCACCTAACTTTAGGGTAAAAATGTTGGGATCTAGAAATAAAATAAGTGCAAGGCTATAGGGTAAAAGATAGGAGTAGGCAGTATAAAGTTACAGGAATTAAAATGAGCTCTGGTGCTAACACGTGAACAGAAAGAGGTAATTCTGCGAAATCAACAACTTCAAGAATATTTGAAACGACTTTTGTAGCGGCATTATCTGAGTGAAATCAGCACTTTTACTACCTTAATTAATATGCTAATTTCGTTTTTATGGCTGCTTGAGAGTGGTGGAGCTGATCTGTTCAGCTCCAACACGATTTTGGAAGCGATTCACAAAAATAAACTAGGCAATATCTCGTAGCGTCCCGAGACCCCCTGCAGACGAAAGAAGACAAAATACTCGGGCAGAACATATATTCAGCGCAGAGAAGGTGACTGGGCTATTGGCATGGCCCAAAAGGCCAGCCCACCCAATGAGGTACAACGGGGCTGATTCAAAGTACAAAAAGTGGCGCCTCACCAGAACCGAGGGATAAACCACTATCGTATTACATAGCCTCCCTCCTCTTTTGAGCGTTGTCCCCGGCGCTTCCGCAGGTCAACCTCCCGCGTCAGCCATTACAACGTAGTCGGTGCAGCAAAGAAGCACCCACGAGCTGACCGTGCCAGTCACCAAATTAGTGCGCAACTGAGGAGATACTTGACCTCAACGTCACTGATCCCTCTTGGCAGCTTGACTGGATCTGGTGATTCGTTCGGTTCAGGGATTTGATTCAGGGGGGAAATTGCGCCGGCCATCATGCGTGTCCATAGATAGATGCAGGAGCACTGGCCTAAAAGTAGATTTGAGTAAGGGAGGACAAGATTCAAAACAGGTCCATGGGGGGACGGTAGGGAAAATCCACAACGAAACTTCCAGATAGTTCACAGCTAGTGTCGCTTCAGTTGTTAATAACTTTTCTGAAGAACATGGGACTGGGAGAGATGCCGAAGGTAGGCGTCAACATCAACCCTTCTATTAGGGATCATCACCATTCCTCCATCCGTAGCATATGTACTTCTTCCGCTCCACTAAGGCTTATCACGTAGAAGTGGAAAATCAGGATACATGTCTTTCAAGATTGGGTTCGCTTTCCACTGCCAGAAATGTAGCGTCCCGAGACTCCCTGCAGACGAAAGAAGACAAAATACTCGAGCAGAATATATATATTCAGCACAGAGAAGGTGTCTGGGCTATTGACATGGCCCAAAAGGCCAGCCCACTAAACGAGGTACAAGGGGGATGTTCAAAGTACAAAAGTGTTGCCTCACCAGAACCGAGGGATAAACCACTATCGTATTAAAATCCAAATAGGTGAAAGTTTCGGATTAATTTAATGGCGGCGAAACGTTTAGTAGCGATATGTTAAACAGAAATTTAAACCCCAAAAATTTGATTTAAACGGATTCAATTATTTGATTAACGGATCATAATGGAAGATAAAACGTAGTTTCTTGGCTTTCATGAGAAATTTAGTGAAAGAGCATAACTTTATTTTCAGTGAATACTTAAAGGCGTGAAGGGGAATCCTATGATTCCAAAATAAAAATCAGGATGAAAACGAGATAACACCATCTAATAATTTCTTTATGCAAGAGCCCTCATTGATTTGTCGTATTCTAAATAAAATATATGATGGAAAAAATCGTGGTTTTTATCCACTTTCACATGCTTCTTTTTTACACTGCTGGATTTGTCGGTAAATTACAATTGTAATTCAATGAAAAGTTTATTGCAAATGACTTGTCTGGGAAACATTTGTTGGTTTTTACAACTGTTCCTACAGGACCAATATGTATAAGTTTTTGATATAAATATTGCTTTGACGATTTTTGGTTTAAACCTACAAAAACTCTAAGGTAGTTTCCATGCATGCATTAGCAGGAAAAAGGAATAAATGCTTCTCTTTGAGCCGCGTGTATCAAACTGGTGGCGGTGCGCAATTTTGTTAGGTAAGTTGGGGTCGTGTATGGTCTTTATAAGGGTTCTAAATTCAACACTCTGTGAGCCATCTAATGTTGCACACTACGAAACATATTGATTTGCAGTACCAACCATTCGTTAGCCTCTTTCACTTTTAGAGGTGATTTGGAAAACACAGTCCTAGATCCTCTACGAAACACTCAATTTGAACTCAATAGCCTAATGATTCTGTGCTCTTAGTATACGTTTAGCCTTGAAGTGCCTCAACTATGTGTGTTTTGCACTTTACTACCTGCGTTACATACGTATGTTCCCTCTTGAAATTGTTAATGTTGAGAATATAAACCATTATAGGGTTCCAACTTCATCATAGTATCCATCACACGACAAAACTATTGTTTTTAACTTATTGCTAGTTACGAGCTACTAAACCCATACTTCTTCGAAGTTTGATGTATGTCATTAACAAGAGAGATGATTACCTTTATAAATTCTGCCGTGAAGAAATATTTGGTTTACCTTTGAGCTAACTTATCCCTCATGACTTTTTAATTTGACTTTCTCTTAGTTCTATCTCCCCATTTATGTCCGTTGAATTCCAGTTGTACAAATCCCCCAAGTCTTTCATTATCAATGGAAACTGAAGCCGCTGGCTGCTATGCTGAAGCGAAATTAGATAATGCAGGGATTTCAAGCAATCTGAACCAGGTCTATCATTCTACTCATTTGTCTAAGCCACGACTTGAAAGTGGCAAACCTTTATTGGACTCGAAAAATGCCAATACGGCCTCTACCGAGAACCCTACTCACTCTTTAGAAAGTGAGGTAGCGGTTCCTCAAAATATTGACGGTGCGGAATCGAAAGAGGTTGTTCAAAATCCGCACAATGACTGTGTAGATGATGCACAAATGCATCCTGCTGATATTATTAATCCCATTAGTGATTATGCGCAAGTGTCTTCTCAATCGTTGGAATTCAAGTCTTTAGATGCCAATGTTAAGGCTTCGGAATTACATAAAGAATTCGAATGCGTAAATAATCATCAAGTGGGGATCTCAACTTCAGAAAGAGAGAATGAAAGTAAAGTCTGTGACTCACCTTGGCAAACCAGTGTGTATCAAGGTGACCAAAAAGTAATACACAATAGTTCTGAAGAACAGGAAACTAATGGTTCTACTTCATTGGATGATCAAGTCTGCTTAAACGCTCCCCATCCCGTGAATTTACAGTCCCTTGGCTGTGAAGGTGGCACTGCTGATTCTACACAAGGCCCTGTCTCTAGAGAAGAATCTAACTGTTCTAGTTCATCAACAACAGAAAACAAGGCAGACATCCATTCTCACTCAGATAATTCTACTTCCATTCTTGCTTCTTCAACCGACAAAGTCAATGAGGAGGATGATTCGTCTTCCAACTTTTTCTCCATTGGAGGAATGGAAGACCCAAACAAAGTTTCCGTCCTCCAAGCCAAAGTTGAGGATTTGACGAAAAAGTTGCTGCGGTCTCAGGAACAAATGGAATCTCTTTTGGAGGAGAAACAGCGGTGGCTAACGAATCGCCAGCAGCAATCTCAGCCATACGCCAAGCACAAGACTAGTGTCTCATCAGACACCGCTGCCATTGTGGTCAAATTTGCCCAGGTATATTTTCTGATAAAACTAGCTTTTATCGGAAATTTATACGCTTCTCCTGGAGCAACTCCTCTTACTTCAATCTGTGTTCTGAAAGCTATCCTTAAATTCTAGAAAATAAATAGGGGAACTCGATTATGACTTCATTCCCAATTAAGGAGCTTATTTAAGTTTCCACATAGTCCCTGTTCATTTGGAGTGTATTACGACTTTTTTGGATTTATCCAGTTTTATAATGATGTAGTCAGAACGGCAGCGGATGAAAGCCGAGGCCAAAGTGGAAGAGCTTGAAGCCACTATTGCTCGTTTGAGGACAGAAAACATTCCCAGTTCCGACTCGGCTATCCCAACCAAACAATCGGGATCTATTGAGGAGTTCAGTAAGGTATATTATTGACCAGATCATGCCGTTCGAATAATGTTTCTATCTTTAAATAAACAGCATTTTTCTTCATAGAAATTTATGCCAGTCTTTTGTCATTGTTTTATTAGCTTCACCCTGTAAAGCAGTAGCCATTTTTCATGTTCAACTTTAGAAAAACGATAGATGCGTTACTGTACAAGCACTTCTTTCAAGGGCTAGCTGGTTAGACCCCAGCCGGTCGTTAGTTTCCAGGAAGGATAGATAGGAACTATGCTTGAACGTAGCTTTTCGATGTAGATTATCTTCTAACAGCTAAGTTGATAGGATTTGGAGTGAGAACTGACCTTTCCAGTGTCACTGGTTAGCACAAAGCATGCAGCGCGTTGGCAAAGCCACACCGGATTCATTAGATATGCTTTTGAGGGTATTTTTTTGTTCGTACATTCCCGTTAAAGCAGATTTAATTTGAAGATGGTGATTTCCGACTTATTTCAAAATATCTACAGTGCTATGTTATTGAAGGTTTCCTCAATTTTATAGAGTGAATCTTTTGGTCTATTTGCTGGCATGAATGAATGAGACAGCGTTGTTATCAATAAAAGTCGAGTTTTCTGAGAAATATGAGTAGCTTACATATTTGGACGTGCTAAAGGCCTTCGTACTACATTTCGAGGTCAGCAATAGTCATAAAGTCTTGACGAAGAAACTGTACTTTTAAGCTACTTGACCCGAGTTGATAAATTTCTTTGTGAATTGTATATTGTCTGCTTCTTATGATTCACTCTTATGGCAAATTTCTTCCCCACTATCTTTGTTCCTATTCCCCTCGTTATACAAATCAAACATTGGATGTATTCAACATTCTAACAGTGCTTTCAAATCATCCTATGTTCCTTAGGCTATCCGTTGTATTTTACTGATGTCACTTGAGTAGTGTGTATGATTCCCCTGTGTGTTCAGGCTCTCGCAGAGGCTCGGGAACGGGCGGAGCATTTACGCCACGCGCTGCGACAGGAGGAGGCACGAGTGGGTGACCTCGGCGCACAGTTGGCCACCACTCGCGAGGCGCATCGCAACGAACAGAAACGCGCCGCCGGACAGGCAGAAGTGATAAGTAAACTCAACCGCGACATCGACTCCCTCAAACGACAGCTCAAAGTGAGGCCGCGCTTCTCTCTGTCGGGTTTGTGTTACGTGGAACCATGGAGATATGCAAATCGGAACGTTAATTGGTGTTTTCTCATTTCAGTTTCTGTGATATTAACATTCATTTTTTGCACCTTTGTAACTCAGTTCTTTGGTGTGAGCGTTATTGGTACAATGCATTTCATCGATTCTTGAAAAGGTTTTGGGATTGATGTTTCATTCGTGCGTTGCCTCTGAGCGCTCCGTATATCTCTAGGATGCAAACAAAGTGCGAGAGCGAGAGGCCAAGCGGCTGTGCGATGAGATGGCTCTTCGTGAGACCACGGAGAAGTACAACAAGGCTCTCTCCGAAGTGGCAGCTCTTCAGGAACGCGTCACGCAACTGGAGGAGGTGCAAAAGTCCAAGCTGGATTTGGAGGGCAAATACGAGGCGTACGTCATGCCAATGCCGAATCTTCGTGCACAAGGCTACTAAACCCGTTGAGCTATTCATGCATAGGTCGTTATTGGCATATCAATCGGCCTACTAATCGCCTCATTAAGTTCAGACTTATTGGGTGAATTTGGCTTGGCATACTAAGGAAGAATAGGTAATTTCAGAAAGCCTCCGATAACTTTTATGACAGAAGAATGGAATTTGTGTTGACCCAATCGGGCAACTGAGTTTTAATGAATTAAATGTACCACTTTTGACTGCCTAATTTGCATTAACCTTAGCTAATTGCCTCTCTTTGTGTAACAAGTGCCCAAAATACGTGTGGCATACGGACTTTTTTGTTGGTCAGGCAACCAAGGGCTAGAAGCTGGAGATCTTGCCTTTGAACCTAGCAGCACTTTTAATTCTTAACCTTACGTTAAAGTTCACTCTCTGGCCTTATTTAGCAAGCTAGGTCTCGTTTCCTTTCAATGGCAAAATACAAGTCGTAGCTTGATTTTATCTTTGTAAACTTTTTCAATGAATGTTCATTTGGCCTAGAAGTTCATTTTGGCAGGTGATACGGTCGTATTTTGTAAAATTACTTGATCAGTTGCAATTTAAAATGTTTTCTTAAAGTTGAATTAAACCTTCCTTCTGTAAAACTAACGAGTTGTTTTGATGTTTGGAGTGTACTGGAGATAGCTCAGAAAGGGACAATCGAACAAGTAAAGCAAAAATAAGAATTGTCACTGGGCTTGTTGCGTGTTGCCCTTTGACCTACGTTCGATTTTGTTCAAATGCTCGACTTCATTCCATGTGATAATGAACTATGAATCGTGTAGTGAATTGTCAAATGCAAAACAAGTATTCAATCCGCCTCCGAAAGTTTGGTATTTCGAGAATTTCGTGGGCGATCATTTCGTCCTTTGGAACCCCTATTTGGATAAGAATTTTACGTCAAATATTCGAAACACGCGTTTTCAATTTATCTCGTTTTCATCTAGTCGGAAGTTATTTTTGTCGTTCACCTACCAAAGTGCATACAAGTACATAGAAATAATTTTTTTTTAGTCATAAAAGTTTGCATTAAAGCCTCTACTTGTGGTAATTTTTGGTAGAAAGCGATAAAGTGATGCGTATGTTTGTGTGCAATTTACATCACTCCCTCAATTTATCTTTCATTGCATATCGTTCTGACGGCACGAATGACATCTGTTGTTGAATGTGATGGGCAAAAAATAAAGATTTGTTATCTTTTTGCACGCCTGCTGCTAGCCAAAATGCTCCTGAGATTTCTCATCTAGTTGGGATACATCTTAACTACTGTTGTGTGCTATGTTCTCTACCGTCGTATTTTCTTCGTAGTTCATTATTGGATCTATACGATAACCTCCTGTATCTTACAGATATTTGTGGTCTTCACTCAATGGTGCATCACTAGTTTATGCATTGTAGATGTTCATTTCGGAAGTAGTTGTCTACGGTAATAAAATGCATATTGGTGTGTTACCTAGCGATGTTGGACAATCTTAGTCATCTAATTTAGGGGTTTTCAGTCAGTACACTAATGGGCAATATTTTTCGAAGATGAAGAAAAGATAATGAATCATTGGGAATGTCAGCGGTAGCAATGACCGCTATTTGGGCAGTGTATGCGTTACGATACAAATAACTATTAAGTTAGGTAGTATTCTCGGATGTGGAGGCGTATGTGCAAAGGCTGAAACAATGAATAAAACCTATTATTCCCTAGTTGAGAAAGCATTTGATTGAAATTAATGTACGATATTTAAAAGATAAATTGTCGAGGGTGAAGAGTGAATTAGGTTTGGGTGCTGTCTTTTTGGTTATTTAAACTACTCGTTCATATCGAATTGACATTGCAGGATAGATAACCACCGACTTATGCTGATCATCCTCGGTTATGGAGATGGTGGATCTTATTGATTTCCATCTTTTCCTTGATGACAGCTTGCAGAAGGCTCACGACAGCCTCCTATCGGTGCGCGAGGAGATGGCGAGTTGTGTGGAGCGCGAAACGCAACTGTCGGAGTTCACGCGGCGCCTGACAGAGCGCAACGCGGGCCTGCAGACGGCGCACCTGGCGACACAGGCGCGGCTGGAAGCGAGCGAGCGCGCCGTGGGCGAAGCGAGCCGCGCCGCCAAGGAGGCCACCGACCTTCTTCACGCCCTTGAGCAGCGGGCTCGGACCGAACGTACCCAGGCCGCCAATACCATCGCTAGCCTTGAGGCGAAAGTAAGTCGCCGTTGGAGACGTCTGCACACTCAGAAAGGTTTCTCTATTGATTTTCTGGACATTTTTTTCGTTGCACCTAATTTCCAAATATTCTAGAATGTCTTAAACCTTGCGCTATGGTTCAGTTGCCCCAATTAGTCAATATTGCGCTAAGATAGACTTTGAGCGTTCGGTTATTACTATTAAACCAAGACTAAAGTACTATAAATTCGCAAGAGTGGGACCGCCTCGTGTTGCTAACAGCTAGTCAGCTGACGCGTATGCACACACTGTCGCCTAGCAATTGAAGTCCTCGTATTGAGGGCCTTATCTGTTTGACTATTTCTTTTGAAGACTTATCAGGGTCCGTGCTCACTTATACGTAGCTGTTTATAACAGCCTTACCGTTACCCGTCTCTCTTTTCCCTGTCGTGAAGTATCCTTCTGGGCCTCTGATGTGGGTTGGCCCGCATGAAGCTGGTTACTTTTTCTGTGGAGCGAATCGTGGCCTTGATAGATATTTTTCATTTCAATGATAGCACAAATTTTCTGTTTCATTGAGGTTTGAACGATGTTCGACTACGAGCTCACGTAAATCTCTCTTGTCTTAAAACGGTTTACTAAAGTACTGAATGTGAAGTAGCTTAGGGGATCTATATTTTTTATTCATTCATATTTTCCAATTTGCAGACATTTCAATGCTACTCAATCGCCTATTTGCATTATTCCCTCCTTTTCTTGACGAGAGATTATTATTGAGTCAGCTTTGAAGGTCGTTCTGCGAAGATAATTTTGGTTTACGTAAATTTAGTTCCGCTTCACTGCTAACTACTGCGCGGAGCTTGGTGTTCTGATACCTGCTGATAGCTTTTTGTGGGCCTCCGCAGACTCAGCAATGCGAAGTAGATGCGTTCGCTAATGTTTTGTTGTAGTATTCAATCGGTGAAGTTGGGGTTACCGTTCTCACCGCTGCTACTACTGTAGAGCTCGAATCACCTCTGGGGGCGTTAAAAGGCAAATAAATCTGATAGTAATAGTACTTTCGGCATGTAGAAGGGCTGGAGGAATTTTAGTGCAGGTGCCATAAATACAATTACCGTACCAGTGGCTTGGAGTTAGCGTAAAAAATTGTGGAAGCCTGCATAGCTTAATAGGCGACGAAACCAAATCTTGTCTCATTACCACACGGGCATACACGCATTTTAGCCAGATTCATACCATTCGATCTACGCTTGGATGCGCTTACTTCTCTCCCTGTCCAGTACTAAAATGAAATTATTAACCTAGGCGTGGTGTCGCATTTCGATAAGCAGCCTGCATGGGATTTATGGGGTTGTTTCCCTGATACAGTTTGTTTTCGTTACAAGCTGAGTCTGCATTGATAGACATTTCACATGAAAAGAAATGCCGAATTAGATTAGTTTCCTGTCACCTGACCGTTGCATGAATCTCTTTTCTTTGTTCGACACTGTTGGCTTTGTCTTTTTTTTCATTCACGTATGTAAGGTTTCCTTTATTCCAGAAAATCAAGAAGTAATTGGATTTTCTTCTTATTCTTGCAGCGATTTGCACTATCTTTTAATATCATAAGATGACACTAACTGTACGATGCATACTGTGCAGTTTCGTTAATCTAATTTCAAGTCTTTGTGTCAGTACGGGTAATGCTCATTAATATTCTTAGATATCTGGATTGAGACAATCTGAGGAAGCACTAAAGGTGGAGTTGACTCGTGAGCAAGTAGAGAAGGCGTCGCTCAAACGCAAGCAGCATGCTCTGGATCGCGAGCTGGCACGTCTGATGGCCCAGCAGCGCAAGCTCTCGCATCAGGTATCGACGAGTGGGCCACCGTATCAAGACGCCACCTTGGATAGGTCACTCACCGACTCAAACCTCAGCCTCTCCGCGCCCAACAATACCACCTCAGTGGTAAGACCCTCATGTGACAACTCATGGGTCACTACTATTAGGACGAGTAGACTTATTCCTGAAACGCTTAGTATTTATGTGGAGTCAAATCACCCATTGTATTATAAACACATTGTCAATATCAAATATTGAGAAAGAAAGCAGACGACATCCATATAACGAAGCTCTGGTGTTTTGTATCTGTTATCTCTAGACGTCGGATCCTTTGAAGCCCTCACCCTCGCCTCCAGTGCTTGGAGACGCGCTGCTTGTGGCTTCCAAAAATGGTGAAATGGCTGCAACTCATGTGGTCTCAGTGGCGAGAGAAGTGGCTGAGGATAATATCAGGACGCCTGACCTCGAGGTGCAAACTCTGGAGCCGAACCGGGTGCTCTTGCTGAACAAGATCGACCGCCTCCAGCGCACCAACGTGCGTCTTATGGAGAAAATTGACTTCATGCATGAGCACATTGACCAACTGACGCAGGAGCTGCAGAAAAAGTCGCAGATTTTACAAGTAGGTTCTGCCCCCCTTTATTTCTTTTACTCACAGGGACGTAGCGAATTACTCACTGGTTATCCAACTCCTTGCGTGTAGGCCCTCACGCGCTTTTGTTTCAAACTGAATTATCAGCGTTTTGTTCCTAATGCTTACCTCTGTAATGTGTACGTGGGAACAAGGAGTGCTTACTTCATTTTTATAAGATGTTAATTTGTGCGCCTGCTCTTGGGATGATGTAAAGTCGAGTCAAGCTTGTGACTTTGCGAGAACGCTTTCCCCGGACTAACTCATTGGCTGTCATACTAGATTAATTTTCCTATACCCTTCTTCGTTGACTAGCGGTCTTTGCTTAACAACGACTCTTTTATCCCATGTCTGTATTGGACACTGAGCACGAAACGATTGGCGGGGAGGGACGCGGGTTTTGATCTAGTTTTCGAAATAACCAGTAATTATCCGCTACAGTGCACATGAAATGCCCTGAATGGTGGGCTACTAAAGCACACAGGGCTTCTTACTGCCACAGATAATGTGGATAAATGGGTGAAACATTTTTGCGAAGTAATTTCCCTTTATTGTCGGCGATGCTTAGCACTGTTTGACGCGAGAGTCAGACAACGAGGGTGCGGCGGTGCCGTCGGCAGTAGACGCGAACAAGCGGCAGCGCATGCGTCGCGGCGGTACCCTCATGGCGGCGATATTTGCAGGCGAGGGCGATACCACCTCCTCCGACCTCCGCACCTCTCTGCAACTCAATCAAAAACTCCAGTCGGTGCTCGAGGACACGCTCTACAAGAACCTCACTCTTAAGGTAGACCTAATCTAACCTACGCATTGGATCACATAGCTGTCAATCTCACTAGGTTAACTCTCCTAATACACCTCTATGGCTTCTTTATTTATGCGTCATATAATTATTTGGCCCTATACACGGATTGACGCGCAATTGTACTTACTTTGCCATCTTATTTTATTGAACAGCCCTCTTTTCATAAATTAAGTAGAAAATAGACATTTAGGATGTTTTTTTTTTTACGCCGAACGCAACCACTTTCCTACCAATGTGATACGAAAAAAGCAAGCCAGATTAGATCTATCTGATTCTGATTCGACTCTTTCTTTAGGAAAACGTCGATACTCTTGCAGACGAAGTTGCAACACTGAAACGAGCCAATAAAGAGCTTAAAAGCCTCGTGTCAACCCGATCGGGCCAATTAACAGCCGGTCCTCATCGGTGATTATGGCACAGTCCCTGAGAATCAAACTCATATGCTGTGACATCTTTTAACTGGTCTCGTTGCCTGTGATAACTTGTTACTATTTTATCGTGACTCAAAAATAACAACGCCCCCCCCCCCCCCTGTTACTCGATAACAATGAAACAAGTCCCGAGACTTAAATAAAAAGGTGGTTAAAACAGGCACTTCAATGGAAAACTAAGATAGAATAAGAATGCGAGACTCTTATCCCTTCTCACAATACAGCAGTGTTCAATAACGAACAGAAGTATAGTGGAGCACTTTAGGTCTGTACTAGCTCACTCCAACAGCTAGTAGGGTTGGGCCAAAATATCGGTTTTGTACAAATGGGTGCGTGCAAGCCGCATTCACGGAGTCATAATACAGGTAACTTTTGAAGACGGGAGAGAAACTGCTTCCGTTAGGTATGGTCTGGCAGGAGTGGAACTTGGGCGTGGTGTAGTTGAAGCCACCAATGGAAGGAACCGTCAGCTGGTCAGAATGCGAAATGGACGGATCCGGATGTGGTGAGGTGATCACAGGAGACGTCGGAAAGAAACGTGATAACAGTAGTTCAATGTGACTATCATCAGAGATTGTTGATAGACCCTGATGAGAAAGGGCAAGAAGAGCGGCCGCACACACTGCCATGGCCTATGAAAGTGCGGTAACAGATGAATCCTAACTGTTAATGCGCTGCGACCAAGCGTACGCGCTCCTCAAAAATTGCCAAAAAACTGACAAGATTCAGTTTTAAACCCACCTTGGCCAGCGTCCATCTAGGATGGTCATTCCCACTCTTTCGATCGAAATATCCAGGTGAAATCTTTCTGACAATGGAATATGGGTGGTGACGTTTAGACTTGTCACGAACTGCTTTGCCAGGATGTGCAGCGGAAGCAAAGCGATTCATGATAAACTTATTGAAATCGGATTGGGAAACAAACAGATTCCAGCCAAGAGCCGAAAAGAAGCGAATTTCCATGACGTTTAATACCTTCAAATCAATATCAAAGTTTGCTGCCCAGGTACCGTTGGAAGAAGCCTCTTTTGTATCCGCATCATGAAGAAATTTCAAGGCAGCCATCTAAATAGAAGTATTACTCAAAGTTTCGCCACCCCAATAACAAGATTATCTGTCATTATTCAAAAGCACCAAAAAGACAATGTTAAAGGTATGAAGTACCCCATGAAAGGCTCACAGTAGCAACAATGAGCAGTTCCGTCGCCGTAATTTCGTAAAACAGTAAAGGTTTCGGATCAAGTTGTCGAAACTTTTCGACCAATATTAAGGCCGTGATAAGTGTTGTGGAAGTAACCTCGCTACATCTAGGGAAATTATGATGGATATCATTTACCTCAAGAATTCCAAAAATGTGTAAATGTCCAGCTTTCCGAGTTGCCGCTCTGTAGCTGAGTTGACAAGATTAATAACTGTCTCTGAAAAAAGATGGCAAAAGGTGGGCAGTAAAATTTGACGAATGAAAACATCAAGTAACAGAGATATACAAAATGAGTAACACTGGAGCATACCAATGTGTGGCAGGTATTGATATGAGAGACTGAACTCAAGCTATGATTTAAAAAAAACAGTCATTTACATACTAGAGAGCAGCTTTCCGCCTTTCTGGGAGCTAAAAGACCCAAAAGACGAAGGAGATCCCGCCTTAACGCCCTGTCGCACCAACCGCGCCATACCCGAGCAGAGCCGATTGAGATTAGCCTTGTTTATTATTCGACGATCCAATGGACTTTTAGTGCAAGCATTTTTAGCCGATAAATGCAGGTCTATGAATTATTTTGCAAATTTCAAATTAAAGAATTGATATGTTGAGATTACAAATTTCACTTTTGTAATAAAGGGCTTTTTTGCCTAAAAACTAGCAGCTTTTTTGTCTAAAAACTGTAATTTTTGCATACAAATTTTTATCTTTTCTAAAGCATCTAGAATTCGATTGCAATGTCATTTTTTCGAATAGCAAATTTGCCTCATGTTTTGGAATATGACATCGTTACTTGCTCCGTATCCGCTGAGCTGCCGGGCTGTGGTATCGTTTAGGGATGGGGTTGCTTCTGCAGATTTTGACCCTTCTTTCGATTTCCTCGCTTTTTGGAAATGCGATCAAAGGTAGTGACATGCCGAAGCTTATTCGACTTCTTAGTGGAATCTCTGAAGAATGTCACTCTTCCCACTTATACGTCAAACCTCCAATACGAAGGCATTCAGTTCCAGAAACGTGCAAAAAATGCCTCTATTCGCATCACTTTGAACTTTACAATTATCGATTTACCGTGCAAAGATGTTAAACTCTCATTCAGATTTAACAATAAAACCATTGCCGTCGGCAATCCTGGAGATAGGGTCGAGGTTTTTGCTGAGAAGCATTTTGATAGTGCTGGGATGTTGACAAACCTTTTTATTCATCTTGAAGGTGGTGGTAAATTGCCTCTTCTAAGTGAAGTCTATTTCTAGCCGCAAATAGTGGTATTTATGTTTTGACGGTGGAGGCTTGCGCAGACTCAGAGTCAGCAGAAGTCCTGGTTCTATGTAAGTTGCTCGTTATACTTTTGTTTCTGGGTATGTAGATAGGTTGCCTCTTTATTCTGCTCCTTATTACTTGAAGAACCGGACGTGTTCATGGTAATTCTTCCAAATCAGTTTTCTGCTTACACAAATCTGGCTCTGCGTTGGCTTTTTTAGCTGCTCCGATTTTGCCAGTTTACTCAAAACCGAAGCGAGTGCTACAAGGTGATCCTCTTCGCATTTCTTGTCGGGTATCCAGCTATCCCATTCCCGATAGTGTTCAATGGCTATTCGCTTCCATTCCCATCGATCTTTCTGATGATAAAGCGGCGATTTCCGACGCATCGGCTAACCTAAAGCCCATTAGTCCCTCAAATGAAGCGTGGGAGGATGTCACTTTTGCCACAGAGGATGGCACCTTGAATGATACCCTTCGATTCAGCGCCATTACCGTTGCCCAAAACGGTCTTTTTGCCTGTAATGTTTCCAACGTACTCGGCACCGATTCGACTTTTCTTCTGGTCGGAGTCAAAGGTAGGCTACTTGATGAAAGTTTTGGTTTTAAACTTTTAACAGTAACTGTCTTAATGCGAGTTTTTGCACATACTTGGCTATGTTAAATGTTCGACATTGCTCTTTTTCGGTAAAATGACGTGGAAGTATGATTTTCATTATGTATTCAGGCCTTTTGTAGGTTCGATTTCACTAACACGAAGTCATGGATATTTTTGCACGTATACTGGGCTTTTAACAAGAAGGTAAATGCTCAATACTGTGTAAGGTTGAAGTGCACAGTATGTTGCCTGTCCGCGTGATACTTAATCATATCGGCCGTCGCGTCCGCCCGTCATGACTGTTGATTCACGATAGTGGCCTATATCTACTTCAGTCGCAGACTTGTCTGGTGCGTGTGTGAATAGTGGGTTTAGATGCGGATTTTAACACCAGCGTTCGACTTTTTGTGCAAAATAAAACCGTGTTGATTAGAGTTATGTTTGTAGATGCGGCAGTGCTCAGAATTCGGTTCGCACATACCCTTGTTGATGAAATGTAAATAGAATTAGCTTATGGAGTAAATACACGCTTATCTACGTCCATTCTTGAATTCTCCCTTTTTTGAAACCACGCCGGTGTGGCTAATCGTATTTCAGTTCATCATAATTTACTACTTGATTACAAGGTCCATCTGGTGGTATGCATTTCTAGTGTCTCATCTTGATGAATGTCGCGATTCGTATTACTCTCCTATGTTTCTTTCATACTATACAAACTAGTTGTTTACTCAGCCACTTCTTCGCATTTAATTATCTTTCTTATTAGTAGACTTAGGACTGTGCGTAGGAATCATTTCTACCCAGCTCTATAATTTGGCCTACTAACTTTACACATTTTTATTCGCTGATCTCATCTTTTCCAAATGCATATACACTTTATTTCGCAGACCGATGGGCGGCTCTATGGCCCTTCATTGGAATAGTGGTTGAGGTGACAGTTTTGGTCGCAGCCATCCTTCTCTACGAACGCCACCAGATACGCAAGAAGCCTGCTGCTCCTGAAGCCACTGGTAATCCCGATACCGCCTCACCCAATAGCAACGCTGTCGACAAGTGAGCTGGGCTAAATCTCCCACTTCCTCACGCCTTGTTTTATGCCTGCAGTCATTCAGCATAAATTCTAATTTTGTGGCTTTCAGTACCAATATTCTCATAGCATGGTGTGACCTGTTGCGTCGTGCCTTAGCTCGAAAGGCGCCATAGTCGGTTTGCACATTTAATGAACCATCCTGGATTTTCTTTGACACTTGCTTGTTCATTTTAGGAACCCCAAGCCAGACGAAGTTCGTCTTCGCAACGCCAGAACATAGAGTACCAACACTCATTCTTGCTCATTACAATCGGTTTAGTCTGCTCTTGGTGATCGACCGGTTCGATTTCTCCCTTCCTGCCATTCCCGTTCGCGTTCCCTCATCGCATTTTGGTGCATTATAAATTCGCTTGCCACTTCAATTTACTACACCCGCTCCTCTCTCAAACTCAATTTTGGAACTTCTATGTACTTTCATTCACCGGCTTCGTTTTCCATTCACTTTTATGAATACGAAAAGAGGGAACTGAGGTTGTAAGTTTATCTCTCTGATATGAAGGCGGGCTTTGTAAGCTTTGTCTGAACAAGTCTTCTCTAGAACTAAAAAGTGACGAAACGCCGGACCTCTAGTTTCTGTCACATCAGTGGTTCCTCTGTGGTTCGGTTATGTGGCGGTTTAAAGGTCTAATAAGTGAACATCGGAAGATTGGATTGACAAACTAGGGTTATGACGAAATGTAACTGGTCCTGGGTGTTGATCACTTGCAGGATTACTTCTGTGATTTGATGTGGTGTGTGTTTAGGCAACTGGATTGCATGTGTCGGCCTAACTGGCGTCGCTCACTGATGGTGGCGAGGTCGCGCTGTGCCGAGTGCGGTTTGCGCTCTGCAGCAGATTTTGTAACAGCACAGGACTTTGGCTCGCTACATGTAAATAAATTGAACAGTTTCTAACCCTTGGCCATTCAATATAAGATCTCGCATTAAATCTCAATAACAATCTGACGTCACTCGGGGCGTCGAAAGTCTAGTTAGCTAAGCGTTGCGACCATCCACGTGAATATCATCTGCATGTGACCCTTCTGATTTGTGAAATTTGGTTTGATCAGATGGCTTACAATTGTTTAGGCATGCCTATGCAAGGGTGTGTGGCGTCATCGCCAGAGCGAGGGAGGGCGACAAATAACTCGTTGAGGGTGCAATTTGCGTTAGGCTTCGAATGGATTGAATGTGACTCTATTTAGCCCGTCACGCCACTTCCATAGCCTGCAATGTTTGTGTGCATGCATCACAAAAGGCGACTCAATGATTCTGCCGTCGGATGTCCGCTTGTCCATGTAAATAAAAATCGCCGTTTAATAAACGCAGATCGGTAGGCCTGGATCACTACACCTGGACCAAAGAGGCATGAAGAAAGTTTGTTCTAACGCACAATAGTAGGAGTGAATTTCTTCATTAGCTAAACAATGGAAGATCGGCTGAAAAGGCCATTCTGACATTGTAATCTGGGGGTTACGAGGTAAATAGTTAGGTTACTGTCGGACAAATGTTTTTACCGCTTAAATGGAACGAAAAAAAATATTTGGTGCTACTGATTGACAAAGTCCAGGAAAATTATTTAGCACATGTTTTTAGTATCCCCTTCAATAACAAATGCTCAGGCGCAAAGCTACGGACGTGTCCAACCTCATCAAGTCTGCCTGTATCAATAACAAAAAAAATTTCGTTGGGTGCAAAATAGGCTTCATATTTCCCTGTTCTGAATCAGGGGCTAAGTTTCCCATCAAAGTGGACTGATTACTGCTCATGCAGAACCAAACACGCACAACATTTGGCCTAATGGTTGGATTGAAGTTTTAGTGTTTGAAACAGGCAGTTCTTCTTCAAACCACTACATTCTAGGTGATTCGATGAGTAAGTTCAAACACTGACCCAAGCACAAATTATTAGCGGTTGAATGGAACAATGCAAAAAAGAATTGACCTCATTCCAGAATAACATGACATCGACCACTCAGAAATGGTGGAAATATGCTAACATTAGTTCGAACGTGTTTTCATCATGCGAATGTAAAGGGCGAGGTATAATGGATGAAAACGAGAAAAGTTATGGCACTGTCTGAGGCATAAATTATCTGCAGGTGGGATTCTTCTTAATTCGAAACAACCAAAATAAACATCTCAAGGCATTTACCGTGTTTCGATTATAAGCTATTTAGACATTGCATTTGATTACATCATTGAGGTTTTGAAATGGCAATGACAGACTGTCTACTCCACCGTGTTATCAAGCAGTAATGAGGAGATCCGGTGCTTTATTGCCTTCCTTTACAGATGACCAAAAGTTACAAAATAAGAATGGTATTTCTAATACCCCACTATTGTGCTGTAATACATGTTTTTGCTCAAATTAGACCTTTTTGGGAGGCCAGCGAACACATTGGATCAACCTCGTTCCTGAGAAGGTGCCATCAACCCCAGTGGAGAGGATAAAGCTTGATCTCCCCATTAAATTCTTATTATTTTAAAGACATATTACACAGTACAAGGTACCTTTCTCTTCCCGATCCAAGGGCATGGAAGCGGTGGTAGAAACTATTACAGTGCCAACACCACATAGTGGGCAATTAGGTCTACTGCTTAATATCCACTTCGTTATTCTCCCTAAATATATTGAAAGTGCCAACTTAGAAGCAACTTGTGGGAAGTGGCGCATAAGATAAAATGCAACAAACAGAGCAACGACCAAAGCCATCGCAAATTGAACATTTGTCTCGTCTGGAGCCTGCAACTTCCCACACCTAATGAGCACATCTGCAATATGCTAACTGCAGGGTAAACGGAAGAAGTGCTGTTATAATATCCATGTCAGAAGTTGAACACTATGATTAGAGGTAGTCACGACCACATCGGCTCTACGCGTTCTCTGCTTTCATGCAGTAAATACATGGGTACATTGTTCGCTTTTAGAAAAACACTCCAAACAAGTAGGCATCACAGGGGTGACTAACATGAGCTTAATGTAACTACTGCACAGCGAGACGATCATGCAGAGGTCTTTGGTTCAGGTGGAAAACAGGATTCTTCATTGTCACATGCAATTAAAGAATTATCGAAAATAAATCATTTCGGTGAATAAATACAAGCAAACTGGCCAGGGCATTATTCGATACCTCAAAAGCTTTGAATACTTAAAAGATCCACCTATTAAAATAACAAATTAAGCAAAAAACCAGTATTTTTGTCGAAAAGTACTACAAAGAATAGCATTATCATTTGAACCCATTATAAATTGCTGTGTAAGAGTGAAGAATCGCCCCTTGAATTTTCGTTGTCATTTTACTTTCGCTCTTTCACAAGAAGATACCCTAGTGATTGTTGTTTTAAGTTCAATCATTAATACGAGCATGCGAATTCGGTAATGAACAACAGTGAGTATGCCACTGCCAATGACCTTCGTTATCATGGAGCCCTGGACTTTGCTTGCGCACTAGCCCACGAAAACCCATGAACAGCCTAAAATTAATTTTCTTAGGACCAGTGGCTGTAAGCTCCTAACTTTATCAAGAACCCCCATCAGTCAGGGAAATCCTATATTACGAACTTCTTATCAGATGCTGTCGAACAGGGAAATAATGAATATCGACCCACCAAAGGGGTCCGGATACTAGAATATGATCTAATGGCTAAACACGACTCGAAAATGACTAAAGTTGAGCTCCAGTTGTGGGATACTAGTGGAAGTAAACGCTACCAGAATTGCTGGCCAGTGATTTTTAAGGGAGCACACGGTGTTGTTTTGGTGTATAACGTTGATCAGCCAGATCATGCTAATGAGTTGGATGAATGGTAAGACAAACATACAAAAGTGCATGAAAGGTACGAAACTGCCATTTCGCAATCATTAGTGAGAGACTCTAACTGCTGTTTGATGCAACATGCCCTACCGCAAACAACTGACAAAAACAACGTGGAACTTTGTAGGTGTGGTGGTCAAGCTAACCCGCTTTAGCTCAAAAACTTAGTAATCTCACCATCATCAAGTCCCGGCTTCCAAGTCATGGTGACTCCTTGAGGGAAGCGTTCTCGAAGTATGTGGGCCGACTGCTAAATAATTTGTCAGAAGCCACGGAACAAGAGGAACTAACTATAATTAACTCATAGTACTTTAATGGCTAAAATACAAGAGTGAATTGCTGTTGGGACGGGCCTTTTAAAAGTCGCACTACTTGCCAGACAAAACTACACTATTAGTAAAAGATGAGTTTCTTATGATCATAGGCAAGCGTGAGCTTGGATCTTTGTAAGTAAACATTTTGCGAGGAAAAACGCAGGTAAAAGGCACTGGACGATCATTCACATTTATTTACACTTCTGGTAAGGTTGAAATCAAGTAAATAAAAGTAGTTTATTTTAGTCTGAAAGACTACTGAAGTCAAGAAACAGTAAGACTAAGAAGTACTTATTCACTACAGGATTTCACTCCTTCGGTAATCCAAGTGTTTAGGTGCTTGAGAAAACAGACTCTTATATTGAAATGCTTGCGCAAGCACCATTTCAATGTCGTCGTTTGTCCAGCGGTGTGTGGGAAGCGCTTGAAGGTACACTAAAAGGCTATGGAAGTCATTTTGACGCATCAAACTGTCTTTGAATCGCAAAAGAAAGGCAGCGCACACATAAACATGGAATTGTGAGAAGCCATCTGGTTCAGCCTAAAAAAACAATAATACAGAAAGTAGATTATTGGTGCCAAAATTATTCCGACTAAAAAGAATGTTTCGAAGTAGGGAGAAATCTGAGATAATGCTAATTGCGAGATGCAGGATATCAACGCTTCTAGAAAGCTATTCGTAAACCTATCCAATAAAAATACATCATATGCTCATTCATTTTACAAATAGAAATCGCTAAGATGCAAAATATCATATTAAATTACCATTTTTACTCACGTACATTAAGTAACCATCGATACACGATGTGAATTGGAGTTAAAACTGAGTAAATTACTGCCAGACATACTTTTATCATGAAGTTTAAACGACCGAAACACATAAGTACTGGTGCACGCAGGCAGTCAATAAATGTAAAACAGACACCCTTAGTTGCAGACAACTATTTCAGCGTAGGTACAAGTTGCATACCATATATGTATCCCACAAACGAATAATGCAACGCAGCGGCAATTCTCGAATGAGGAGATTGTTCATCCATCGGAAGGCGAATTGCAAATACTCTACTTTATACTTCATTAGATGACGATGCAACTCGTTGTCGAGACGCTCGATAAGACTGCTCAATTTGTTTATGTTATTCTGAATACCGGGCTGTGCAAACGTATAGTTGTCCTGAATCGTGTCTAGCAACCTTGATACGCACCAAAAGACATCAGCTTCTAAATCCTGCAATTGCTCAGCCGTGATTGGTGCCGATAACTTCAATTCGCCAGAGGGATTCATCTCTTCAAAAGAATTACAAAATAAAAAGGCAACATGATAAATGGAAACAAGATTTTTTTGGCAATAACTGAAATTCACATTCTTGTATTATGGTTTTAGTAGAGCGTTAAAGCTTTCAAAGTATCCGCTAATTGCATGAGCCCTTCCTTGCAAAAAAGTTGACAGTAATATAAAAATACCCACGTTTTACGAACAGTGAATGGAACCTCGGCCAGAAAACACTACCATATAGTTAAAATACAATATGGTATTTTTAGAAACACTAGATTTATTTGCCATACAAAAGTTTATTGTGCATGTCATACTGCTGGGCTGCTACTGGCATCTTAACTAATTTTTCCCAAATTTTCAGACATTTTAGGCAATCTATTGACAAAATTCACTGAAATAAAAGTTCTAACTAGAAACTAGATAAGATTGCATGGCAAAACGCACCAGTTTTTGTGTATTCGGAGAGAAAGACAACCATGAATGGTGTGAGCAGGTCGTTTATGCCTTGGACGTACCCACTCCCCGGATGTCTTACAGACCAATTAAACAGCACCCGCTCAAACAGCTAAAAAATAACACGCATCTGCCAAAGAAGAATAGTCTCCAAAAAAGTGAAATGACTGAATAAAGTGAAAAGGTAATTGGATAAGTCACAATGACCAAAACTAATCAATCACTTCTACTATCATTAGTAAGGGAAACCAAAAAACGCGGATACCGAATATCTCTTTTTTCAAGACTTTTTGATAGGAGACTTACCTCAAAAACATCTTGCCGGTTCTGCAGCATTGGCATGCGAACTAGATCTTTTTGTACCTGCTTAAATATCTCGGCACCGTCGTGACCGTTGCGAAGATTGAAAAACTGTGAATTCAGATCTATATACTGTTTGCGCTTCTTCTTAAGTGTCGTGATACGCCTTTCATAGGAAGCAGGTAGATAGTCCTTAATAAACAAAGATAATTAAGTTTAGGAAAAATAAAGAACGAGTCGGCTAGACGGAGAGCGTACGCATAGGAGTTTCCAGGTAACAAAGCGCAGGGCTTGTGGGATACCGGACCATGACTGTTTGCGCAGAGCACCTACAAAAACCTGATACATGTCTCAAGTTGATGCTTATTATACTTCCCAACAAAAGTGGGTAAAAACAAACCCAGGTCAGTAAAGGGCGAATTTATGAGCGCCTGAAATTGTTCAATGCGCCGTTCTACCGTTGGCTGCGCTAGTGACAAAGAAGATCCTGTATTGACATCAAGACGTATACCACGACCGGGAGCTAATTTTCCAGAAGTACGGATAGATCCCTTATGATTTTGAGACTAAAAATAAATGCCGCTTATGATGAATGAGAGCACTCAAAAAAGGAAAAATAGAAGAGCCTGGAGGGCTATAAAATCCAAAGAAAGGGCAGCAATAAGGAGGGGGGCCATTCCAAGCGCCTGCGCATTTGTTAAATAATGTAAAAAAGGAAAATAAAAAGGCAAATCTCCACAAAGATGTTTACCATTTGAGATTCACTGGAATGTCTTTGCATAACCTCTTTAGCTGTTTTGGCAGCGACTAATACACGCGTAATTAACATAATCGCATATACCTGTCTTAGAAATAAGTGAGAGAAACTCCTCGTCATCCGCTTCCCAAGCATCCTCCACACTTGTTTGAAAGGCCGAAAACAGGTCTGCGTTTCTACCAATCATAGTAATAAACTTAAAATTTCGAAGTAAAAACAGATCTATAATAATTCCGCAGTAAAAGCCCCGCTAATTTTGCCTATGAGGGCTATAAGTGCTCAGGCCAGGGAGACGGAAGAGCTAGGCTAGTTGGTATGCTTCTGTAATGCCCTTTTACTAAAGGAATATCAAACTATTAATCTAACCTTTTTCGTGGAGACATTCTTAACATTCTAAAATTGTTTTGATTGATGATCAAGCTAAATTCTGACTTTAGATTCGAACGATTTATTGGGTTGCAAGGACCTAAAATATTACGTCTAAATTCAACTAAACCTTGAAACACCAAAGGCATCATAATGAGACTTTAGTGAAAGGTTTATTACTTATTTTGTTTGTATAATTTTGGGATCTTTCGTTCTAGGTAGAGTGAGAAATGCATATAGATATTTGCCCAATCACATGTCATTTAATATTTCCACAGGGCTTCAACAAAGCGAGTAGCGTGTCATAGCTGGTAAGGCTGATGAATTTTAAGACTTCCTGAAGACGAAAGAAGACACAATACTAGGGCAGAGAAGGTGTCTGGGCTATTGGCATGGCCCAAAGGCCAGCTCACCCAGTGAGGTACAAGGGGGCTAATTCAAAGTACAAAGTGGCGTCTCGCCAATGCCGAGGGATAAAGCACTATCATATTATATTAAGACCATTTTTTTTGATCTCTGCTTTATTTAATATCGTCATGCTGAGTTGCTTTTGCCGAATCACTTTCCCAATAATGTCACTATACGACATGTGCTAGGTTGAATGTTATTGTAGGCAAGATGTGGACAGTAATGTGATTTCGGAGACTTCTCTGATGGTAAAAGAAGACATAATACTCGGACAGAATATACATTTTCGATATGCATTAGTACTAAAGGCTTCTGGCACGACCTGGATAACAGCCCGCCTGGCGAAGTTAAAGTGGAAGAGAAACTAAGAGGCCCTTTATGTGCTATAGGAAATACAAACTTTGTGACTGATTGGAAACCACCAGCTCCCGAGGAGATAATTGTCTTTATCATGATATCCTTACCCCTCCATTTATGGCTACCCTATTGAAGCATGTGCTCATCCAATTCGTCTGCCCATCTTAAGTGAATGAAGGCTAAGGTGAAGAAGATGAACACCAAGCCCATTAAAACTGCTCAAAACATTTGAGTGGTAGCTTTAGCTTACCATCTTAAATTTGTAAGCTGTCTGTCAGAATTGTGTAATCCTAATGTTTCCAGTTCACCTCGCTGGTTAGTTTTGTGGCGCCTTGTGTCTTTTCCATAGTTACGAAGAACGTGCTATCAATGCTTAAAACGCCGGAACCCATTTTCCTTTACCAAGCCGTATTTCCTAAACAAATTTTTTTGTAAAATCGCTTTCCAGAACTTAAATGCACTACAGTTATATGTTTTTAAAACTCCGTATGGAAGATGCATTAATGAAAACCGATAGAAACAAGCACTTGTCATTAGCAAGTGGAGGTCTTTCATCCACTGATGTACGTTATAAAAAATTTATTCTATTTTCGGATTCCTCGGAGCACCTGCCATAAAGGTTTACAATGGAAGTGTAAGTTAGTTGAGGTAGGAAGTTTGTAAGTTTTATTAGATTAGGATTTGAGAATTGGAACTGAAAATTTTGGTAATTGGCTATTGAGAACCACTAAGTGAAAATTGGAATTTATCGCTATTGAAAACGTCCAAAAAGGAAAAATTAAGCCAGATGCGAAAATGTCACCATGTGGGAGAAGCAGTCTGAATTACTCTGAGGTAGAGGTGCAGCGCCCCGCGACTTCCCTTAAGCAAAAGAAGACAATACTTGGATAATATATGTATATTCCTTATAAAGAGGATATTAGGGCTACTGGCACGGCCCATTGTATTACAGCGGTTTAAAAGAGTGGCCATTGTCACCACTGATAGCACAAATCAGCACTTTTGTAGAGTCCCGAGACTCCCTGAAGACGAAAGAAGACAAGATACTCGGGCAGAATATATATATTCAGTACGGAGAAGGTGTCTGGGCTATTGGCATGACCCAAAAGGCCAGCCCACCCAGCGAGGTACAAGGGGCTAATTCGAAGTACAAAAGTGGCGCCACACCAGAACCGAGGGATAAATCACTATCGTATTACACTTTTCTTTAGAGTTGCACAAAAAAGTCATAAATGGCACCAGCAAATCGCAAGACGTTCGTATGCCTGTCATGGTTCAGAAAAACAAACCCGAATTCTGCAACATGGTATTCAACTGTGTTTGGTAATCAAATGAATCAGAAGCGCACTTTTAGAACAAGTTTAAGCTGACGCGCTGCACCTACATTTGCCTTTTTTAATTTGGACAATTCCTAAGTTGGTAATGTTTAGGATTTTGTAATGAGCAACAACATTTAATTATACATTTAATTTTTGATTTGTTTTAAATGATTTTAAAGGTTGGTGCAACCTTTCCATTTTTTACGCACACCTTACTTCAAATAAAACAATCGAATGGCCAAAAATGCACTCTTTATTCGCAACAAACAACTAAGGTCTCTTGTAATACGAAATGAAATGCTGTGACTGATTGGTACGGTTCAAGGCTCCTCCACCAAGGTTGGTGAAGGGTCAAGTGAAGTGTTTTAATTATGCGTTCTTTCTACTACTTTTCTGTATGGGTTTTTGCTGTTAATTATTTGATTTGTTCAGAGCGCAACAATGTGCCTTGAGTCGTTATTTTATGTAATAATAAGCTATAGTTTGAGTGTTTGGTTTACGCCATACCGACCAATTTACATTTCCATGGATAGCCTCTAACACTTACGTTTATTTAATCTTATAACAATCGGAAAGACATTTTTTAGTGAGAGTTGATCCGCCACAAGTGCTTTTGGTGGTGTATATGCCACGGCTTGCACATTAAAGGAATAATTTCAAATCCCTTTCTCAGTCCTTTCATTATTGTCTGATCTTTGACGATATAATGTGCTTCTGTTCACACTAATATGTGGTTTTACCGCTACGTTAACGTCACACGTATTAAGGAACGGATTTAATTTAGAGACCGAGGGTATCTTTTTGTCGACTCAGTAGTTTTGCTAAATTTTCTTTTTTATAATTGCAAGGTCTTACATTTAGAACAATGAGTCTTTTCGTGACTCCCTTGCCTGTGGTTAAGCGCCTCATCAGCTACATAAAGGAAGGCTCTGATAAGGAGGAGAAGTGGAAGGAAAAGGCAGTAAAATCTCTCGTTAAAAGGCTAAAGAAAGGCAATCAGTTGGATGAGTTGGAACGGGCTATTGTTAACCAGGATAGTTTAACTCGCTGTGTTACCATCCCTCGATCCCTAGATGGACGTCTTCAGGTAACGTTTTAGTCGCATCACTTCTTTCTGCTCTTCTCTGGTAATTATTTGAACTATCTACAGCTGTCCTTTGATTATTTACTCTATTGAAACGTTTCTGGTCGTTCAAATGGTTTAGCTTTCACCAGTGTCTTAAGCTTTTCAGTTGGGATGAGTTTAACCTGAATGATGAATCAGAAACTTCAGTAGATGCATGTTTTACCGTCTTACCAATGCACTACACGAGTCATTACCTCCAATTCTCGAATAAAATTTTATAAACTGTCCTGTAGGCAGCTGAGCTTTACGTAGTATGATTTTTATGGGAGCACTGGTTCGATTTCACATGTTTTTGGTGCTCTATATGCCTCTTAAAAATAGATAGAAGTGAAGTAGTCCTGACGTAGTCATCAGTATGGTTCCGATAAGTACCATCACCATCACGTGCAGGTTCCTACCTTCGGTTTGCTCACCACACGAGATAGTATTTTATCATAAGGGCTTCACTAAACAGCTGACCTTGTCTCTCCCATGTCATCTGCATAACCCGTTTTAGAAAACTAACCGTATTGGTGACGTTTGGGAACTTCCCCTGAACTCCTCGAACATTGTCCTTTGTTTGGTTATGAATATACCCTTATATCGTTTATGCAATGTCTTTTCTACTCCATTATTAAAATTATAACTAAATTGCTTAACTGTGTGAGTTTGCTCATTAAGTGGATGTATTTAGTACAGGTATGTCATGAATTTTGAAGGGAGAACTCATAAATCCCCTTATAAGGCGGAAGCCTGGCTAAGGCTATGTTGGCATTCCCACCCTCGCGCTGATACGTTGCCTAGCTTTCTGCCTGCGTGTCTGGCCTAATATTGTAACTTTCTGCACTTGGGCACAGACGCCAGACAGTTGCACGCATGCTCGTATTTTTCCCCATCTCCACCCCCACTCCTTCCCCTAGCCCCTCTAATTGGGTGCCAGAAGGGCACAAGGCATCGCGCCTACAAAATTACCACAAGAAATTTATTGCATCTATTTCTGTCTGTACAGCATAGATCACAAAGTAGATTGATTGCTTTATAATATTCCCAGATTGGAACTATTTTGACGGTAAATGGAGTAAATAACCAATGTGATCTCATCTTCGCAACATCCATCGCATATCGTTGATCAATTTTCTCTAACTCAGAGGCATATTATTTTCATGGAATGTGAGAATGGTATCACCGTAGATATTTTGGCACGAGCTGCTTAAAATTCAATTTGAATGAAAAAAAAATGCTTATTTTAAGTGCTATTAGTAAACTTGTGAAATAATCCACCCCAAATTAGTCGAAAATGGCTGTCTAGGTAGCCTGACTAAAGTAGTACCACTCCGCCTAGTCGGTGAACAGCTGAAAACACGATTTCAAGTGGTGCATTGGTCTTTTGTTTAGGTGGCACAGAAAAAGGGCCTACCTCACGTATTCTACTGTCAGCTCTGGCGTTGGCCAGACCTCCACACTCAACACGAATTACGACCAGTGGAGAACTGTCGGTACTCGTTTCAAGCCAAGCGGGATGAGGTGTGCATCAATCCCTATCACTATCGACGAATAGAAAACCCAAGTAAGTTGTTCCGTTGTTTTTAAATTCTATTTCTTTACATTAATTCTACACATTTATTGGTTAATTTCTAAACAGTAATGAATCTCAATCTCTTTGATCACGAATGAGCGTCTGATTGTTTTGAGTTTCAAAATCGTTCCGTTCAAGCAATTTCTTTGCTGCCTTCTTTCATATACCACTGTGCTTTTGCGCACCGTTTTTTTCGTAGAAGCCTGTCAACCATCTGACTGGAAGCAGTGCGATCTCGTCATTATCCGATTGACTATTTTGGTTCTCCCTTTATTTCCAGGGTATTATCCTTAAAATTAGGTACTTATTGAACCAAACTCAGGTAACGCACACTATCGTGAATTCTAGCGATTTTGTTTGGGCGTGTCTCTACCTTATTTCAGCAGGAAATCTGAAAACTTTGGGGATTTTTTGACCAATGCCTTACGCATCGCCTGTCAAAAGCTTGCTGACAAGTTTCAGTTGCCTGTGTGACTTTGAGCTTGTGACGTATGTAAACCGGATTCTAATCCTCCCTTCTACATACTCCACTTTTTGTTTTAATCTCGATGCTTTCGTCAATGATGTCATTTTAAAGGAACCTGATTATTCGGTATACATAGTTAATTCCCCGTTTGGTTCTGCACATTTCTGGCTGACTGGCCTTTGCATCCTACTTTGTTTTCAAACCCGCTACCCACATCATTGCCGTCATGAAGTTTGCTGACTCCACTTTATACCTCAAGTAAATCTGTTCGAAATTTTTGTTCCTGCCATAGTATTTAGTTACAATATTAGATTTATGGAACTAGCGACTCTAATTATCACTTGGAGTTCCTTGGCTAAATATCACCCTTCGCTTCTTCACTGGCTAAAAGGATTGCTGATTCCTCTTGTGTTAGTATTCATCATTTACCATTTTACATCCATTGCAACTTTGTTAATTGATCCAATTGCTCTAGGCCACCCTAATTGTTCTCCTCGCCTTAGATCGCATTATGCGGTCACTGACTGTTCTAGTTGCAACAACAATCCACAATGCTCGCACTAACTTTCTCCCCATCATGTGACCTCGGTCACAATACGCATGCTCACGTGTCTAGGCCTTTTGTACATATTACCCCTTATTGTGTATATATTTGGTCGTTTTACTGAATTAAACGTGATGTATCATTCTACGTCAGAAACACATAAGTCCAATGGTCTTGGTTATCTCTCGAGCTCTTTACTTGATTTTTCTGACATTTCTCCCGTGTGTGATGCAGGCCCCATGTCTCAAGATTCTCAATCCTGTCTAATTATGAACTCGGTGCTAATGCAGAGTGGTCATTGTTATTTACTGGTTTCTTGTCTCCAATCTGCAAGGCATGTAACCCGTTCTGTACGTCTTTGGGATAATCTCATTATTTTGGGTGATCTTTCGAGTATCGCATGCACACACCTTATTGTCACTGCATGCTGTGATGGTTTCCTTGTGTGACTGCTTCACTTCAATCGACTTTCCTGTCAATTCCTGTGGGCTACCTGCGAGCCGTGTCACAAAGAGATATTCTCACATTTACCGCATCATTGGGTTTTCTAATATTTTCCACTCATATGTTTGCCTCATTATGTTGGTGGTGTCCTCTTGTATTGCTTTTTATGCATTATAAATACTTTTTTACGTACCTTTGTGCAATAAGTCATGTGCATGCAGATCTTCACCCTGGCGTCTAAGTCAATGTTGCCGACAGGGTAGATACTTTTAAAAACCCAAGTTGAGGCAAAAAAACTACACGCAAGTCGGAAAAAGCAGATGCCTTTTTCATCCCATCGACCGACGTCACTGCCGCCTGATTGGTGCGGCGAAGCACAGAGGGGATGTCTTGATAAGCCTGCGAGTGCTAACGTGTGTGTGGGTGCGCGCACACGAAGGGGTGGCAGTGGGGTGAAGGCGGAGGAGACGGAGGTAGGCAGGATGTCGCTTCAACGCTCCGTCCCACCCACCCATGTGATGCCTCGGAGCTGCACTCCTTTTCCCAAAATACACACTCCTTTAAGTGGCAGTGCAAAAAATGCTTAATTTCGGTCAGAGTTTAACAAAAGTCCATTTGAAAATGTATACATTACGAGTTCTTATCTCCCACACCTGGTTCACTTTGATCACCCTACGGAGAGGTTAGCCGGTTAGTAAGCGCGAGCCGCACTAAAAGGGCTTAAAAACGCATCAACGATTCCGTATTTAGGCATGTGCTTGAACCAGTAAATGAATGTCTTACTACTTTGTCATGCAGCTTCAATAAAGGCATACCTGAATGAGTGCTGTTGTAATGCCAGCCTATTTATGCGCCCTTTTCTTTCACCCCCCCCCCCCCTTGTCACTACGACTCGATTAGTTGTCATTATGCTTTGCTTATTTCTTATTCAAAGTCCAAAGCAAATTGCGCCAAGGTCGACTATTAATCTAGTGGAACTGATATCCACCGTCTGACGAAGTGTGCTTCTTTTTAGTTTTTCGTCCTCTTGTCTCATGGGAGATGCTTTCGTATCCCTCTTTTTTTACTCGGTAAATTGGGTGCGATCTTGGAATTCTTGGGACTTGAATTCCCTTCCACTCTCAGTACTTTCTTGGAACCATCTCCCGTTGCATTCACTTATTTGGCTACCCGCTTTCATTGCTAACACTGTGTTCGTTCTTACCACATTTGCCAGTAATTCCTCCCATTATGGTGCCTCGAGCTCCGCATCCCCCGTCTCAAGCGAGCATGAATGGAGCAGATGGAATGGGTAGTTACGGCCACCACCACCATCACCACGCCGCCTACCGAGCAGGTATGTCCCAGCGCCTCGGGGGAGCGGCGGCGGGCGGCGCCTCGCGTCACACCATGATGGACTATACTAGCGGTGGGGCCGGTGGTGGTAGCGCAGCTGCGGCAGCAGCGGCCTATCGTACTGGTGCTCCGACGCAGGCTGGACTGATGGCGCCGCCTCCTCCCTCGGCAAGTCTCCCGCAGACGCCCTACGGTGACACACCAAGTTCCTCGCACCACCTCACCAGTCTCACGGCGCTGCTCAACTCCTCCACTGCTGCCGGTTGCTGCAAGTTCGAAGAAGAGATGGACACCTCAGGGTCGATGCTGGGCACTGGCATGGCACCTCCCTGTGTCACCCTTGATGAAGTATGGCGTTCTTTTATTTTTCTCCCCCCTACCCTACCCCCGAATTGTTTATCCACTCGCCCATCCTGTCGCCTGATTCTTCCATTTGACTTTATTCAGCCACTAACTCAGGTACTTCTCTTAATGGGCATTACTCAGTCAAACCTAATCCAACATTTGCCTAACCTTTTTAGTTACGTGGTTCTCTTACTCACTTTACTCATTTATAACATTGTTTTCTTTTTATTTCGCTATCATGTCATTATGGGTAATGCCCAGCGTATTTTTCTTAGACCAAGATCGGAGCACCTACCCCTTTAATTGACTAATTGTACCAGTATAACTACAAGGAAGAATATGATTTAAAAAAACATGCCCTAATATTTGCTTTCCGTTTCCTCCATGGGTAACAACAAAGGTGTCGGGAGGAAGCAGGAGCATTACATCGACCGTAATCGGTACCACCACTAACTCCTGCTGTATGCATTCTTTCCTGTGAAAATCTAATGCGCTCGTTCTTTGAAAACCACTAATTCTCTTATTTAAAGCACTTGAGGTCACTTTTATGCATTGCAAACTCATCTGCTGGTGGATAAGTGTTTAGTCCCGCTGTGCAGCTATTATAACCATTTTTCTGTGACAGCAGGTGCATCTAACTTCTTTGCACGTGATGTCATGAAAGCCGCAAAAATCCTAATTCTTTTTTTTTTATTGTGATTGGGCCTAGTGTTTTGGAATCACTCTTGTATTAACCAGCCTTCGGTGGATGCATGTAGAACACATGAATGCTGTAATCGCTTGCAAAATGGGTCTCTTTTAGAACGCAGACCACGAAGTCCTTGGTGGTACACCCCACGTGGTCTTTTCCACTCCTCTAGTGTCCTCTGGAATGGATCCCTCCTATCGCTCATCTGGTGATGACTCGACTACTCAAAGCAGCAGTCCGCACACTGGCTCCATGCTCAGGTTGGTGTCTTCGCGCCTTGCCATTCATCATTGTTTACACGGTCACAAATCGTCTTGTGATTTTTAAAGTGAAGAATGAAGGCGTCATTTTCGCGATTTCGATTCATTGACCGAGCGCCCAGGCCACTATGACGTCACTACATGGAATGGAAAAATAAACAAGTTCTATTGCACAATAGTTCGTGACGGGATCGATTCCGAGATCGCGAACACATTGGACGCGTTTAATTATTGCGCAGGACCACTTCAAACTACTTGTACTCTTAGCTATTACCCTGCTCCAGTCACTTTAGTTATTAAGCTAAGAAAAGATGGCATATCAAATATGCACTTGTGTGGACTTTCGTTTCATTTGCACATGCAGATGTAGCGAAAATCCATGATGCATTATTCTGACTATTGGAAATGAGATGATTACCTTGTATTTAGTGCCTCCTACTCCTACATCCGTTAATTTGGCCAATATCACATTATATAGGTTGTATTGTTTGGATCCGCTTGGAATCAGCTGCTTATATTTCGGGCGCGAATATCTACTCCTAGTACTACTGGGTCCACAAATAAATTTAGTCAAATATTGGCAGATAGCCAATGCTTGTCACTTTGAGTGAGCGCTTTCATTAAAGAGGTGGCTGACCCTCATCTCCTTTTAGTACATTTGACCCTTAAAAGAATACGGACTTGTCGTGGTCATGGTTTATGTATGGAAGGGAATGCACAGTCTGACACCAGGGCACATAGAACCCGTATCTACATACACCTTTACAGGAAGTAGATTTCTTTGTTCTACTAAAGCATGTTTAATTCTCTTTGGTGGTAGCTACCTATCACATGGGCTGAAAAACAGCATGGCAATAAAACCGTCTCCGCCATCAACTTCGTCGCCGCCGCTAACAAGCTCGACAAACTGCTCGAAAACGACGGGAGCGGGAACGGGGAAGTTGGAGGAGGGTGGGGAGTCCTCGGCAGGCCCTGCTGACACGACGGACGCTTTGAGCTGCACGGCACCGGGTAGCAGCAGCAGTGGTGGGGGTAGTGGGGATGCCACCTCTACCGGCGGTCTTGACTCCCGTTCTCCGGGCGCTCTCTCAAGGGATGAGAACTGCCTCAGTGAGGATAATGACACTATGGACACTGGTCTAGGTGAGTAGAGACCGACTGCTCCGTACACTTGCTTGGTTGTGCTCAGCCATAGCCCTCGAGCTGCGGTTAAAAGGCAGCCTTATTATGTAATCAGAGTAATGCTGAAATTTCGGAAGGATAGATATACTGGTCAGAACTTTGGCACTGGTGCTGAGGTTGAATCCCGGATCAGTCCTAAGGCTCAAGTAACGATTGAATGCGTTCCTACAGCTTGCATTGGAAGCTCTTCGTGCCTTTGGGGAATAAAAGTGTTTCAGCTATCGTCATAAACACTAATTAATGTGTAAAATAGGGTTGATGTAAACTATTTCCCTTCTCTTAGTCCTTTACTGTGAAGTAGATATGCCCATGCTGTATCTGTTGCTCCATTGCGCCTTCAAAACTGATTAAATACATCTCTCGGCAGAGCGAATTAGTGCTGAAGGAAGACTGAGTGAATTGTGGAGTATTACAGTTTCAACTGAAACTGGGGAATCGGCCAGCTCCCTATCGAATTTCCATTCCCACAGCTCCATTAACAATGTTTTCTGTAGTGGGGAGCTCGAACAACATTTGGAATAGTTATCACTGGGTTATGTAATGTCACCGCATCTTACATGTTCTACTAAATAAACACCGGCAAGAAGCCATATGAGTCTCCTTTGCTTCGGCGTTTCAATTGACACATCCTCTGTTGGTTCACCCTCTTCAAGAAACAGTGTTCTTCGGACTGTCCATGTGATTGTGATTGGACGGCATTCCTTTGACTTGAATGTTTGCTAAGTTTACCTTCCACTGTGAATAAGTATCAAAGGTAAAGTAAGTCTTGCAGTTCTCTACAATTCATCTGTAGCTCTATTGAAGCGCAGTTACTCATTGAACATTGCTTACATAGCTCTACGATTAAGGGTTCAGCAACGTGACATGTTGTTTTGGGGCACATTCGATAGCGGCATGGTTTCTGCGTAGATGATTTCTTGCTAGGACAACTTCGTTCTATTCAACCAAAAAGGATATGCCAATTTCAGAGCAAGATTTCCATCACCGAACTGCTGGGTTAAAATGACCGGCTTTTTCACTCATTTAGCTTAAGATTCATGTGATAATGGTTTGCGTTGAAAAAAAAGTATCCTTTCTGATGAAAAGAAGCTGAAATATTTTTGGCTGCATATTTGTAGCTTGTTCATTGGCGCCGTTGACACTGCGCATTTTCCCTCGCTGTCGTTTATTTAGACACACTGAACGACATAACAATCGATGACTCGGCGCATACCTCAGTGGCCTACCAGGAGCCAGACTGCTGGTGCTCAGTGTACTACTACGAGACGAATACGCGAGTCGGCGACACCTTCTACTGTGCTTCTCCCTGTCTCACCGTTGACGGCTTTACCGACCCCTCTCGCGAGAACCGCTTCTGTCTCGGCCTCCTCAGTAACGTTAATCGGGGACACCAGATTGAACTCACTCGCCGGCACATTGGTACGGTTTCATCGTTTTTGCTCCGAAAATGCTCCTTTGTGTGGCGTTTTGAAGCAGTTACTTCACCTCCTCCGCTTGATAAGCACTAGCTTCCAGATAATTGTCACATTTAAAGCGGAAATCGGGTTAACGATGTGTCAAATCCACGGTAATTCACGAGTTATATTTTGCCGGCTTTGCAATTGTCATGAATTCCTACCAACGAAGTTTTTTAAGAGACAAACTTCTTGCATAGTAGGTGCCTTTATAAAGTGGAAGTGAGCACCTGCATCTTCATATTTTTTTATTCCAAACTTTTTATGACATGCGTGTGTGGATTACGGAGATACATGGTTAATGCCTTTCGGCGAAATTTGCAGGTCACTGTTCCCTTTTATGCTTGCAAACCCGTCACCTTTCAGGTTATTTGAAGCTTCAACAAACAGGAAGCTCTCTGGTGTTAACACGCATTCCTTCCCGTCAACCTACGCACCAGTTTTATTGCCTAGAGTAGTGTATCCCCGCCCAAGAAATGCGATGCCGTAGCAGCAATTACAAACACTTCCTTTACTTACCGCAATTATACGGTTGGCTAATTGGAGGGAGCGCTTCGAGAGACCCGCTTATTCATGCAGATACCGTACATGCACAACAGGTGCAAACTTGGTTAATCTTTGGCTCGGGTTTTGCTGCTTTGGCCACTCCTATGAAACACTTTTTAAATTATTATTGTTGTTCATTATCAGACGTCCTAATTGTGCACTTCTTGGTTGAGGTCACCGAGGTCATGCTTTAAAGGTCATGTTTACAACATGAATTATGTGTGCTATTGATTGTAAGGCTTTTCTTCAATAAGCCCTACTTTGCGTTTTTAAATATTTCAAAATACCATATCAGATATCACTCGCCTGAGGTAGTATTTTTGTGTTTATTGTGCTAAATGGCTCACCTTTTTCTCCTTTGCAATGTAGGCCACGGTGTTGCTCTCTACTACATTGGAGGCGAGGTTTTTGCCGAGTGTCTGAGTGACAGCGCAATCTTCGTCCAGTCGCCCAACTGTAACCACATGTACAACTGGCATCCGGCTACGGTCTGTAAAATTCCACCAGGTTAGTTCTTCCCACCGCCACTCTTGTTTCTTGTACCCTCATTTATTCGTTCGTTTGTTTTTTTGCTGCCAAAGAGAGGAAGTGATAAGGTCTTCATCCATCCTCAGGACATGGTAGGCCAACTCAGAGTCTCGTTTGATGAGTCCATCTTTGTTTTTGTAAAGGGTGGTGGCTGTTTGGTCATACTGGGGCTACAACGAATAACTGCGAATGCTCGCTTGCCGTTTCCAAGTCACTTATACCATTGGTGGTTTACAGTGTGGTTACTGCTCTACCTTGTTAATTAAGCAACGTATTCGCACTCCTTGTTATTTCTTTTGAGCTATATCCTTGATCTTGGTGTAGCTAAATGACGCGAAAAAAATTGTGCGCTTACATATTAAAACCTCCACTCCAATTGATGGATATCAACTCACTCCAAATTGAACCAGTTAAGAAGCACGCGAAATAGTGATTTGTGACGGAATGAATTCCCCTTTTTGACTAGGCATACACACTTTTAGGTTGCAATTTGAAAATCTTCAATAATCAACACTTTGCGGCACTGCTGAAAGAGAGTGTCAACAATGGCTTCGAGGCGGTCTACGCGCTTACTAACATGTGCACTATTCGAATCAGCTTTGTCAAGGGCTGGGGCGCCGAATACAGGTGAGTCTCCCTACCTTTTTACACGGAATCTACTCCCTTCATCGGCGCGACACTTGCGACACAGACAGTTGCAGATGAGTCAAGCATGTCTAAGTGTTGCTGCCTGACTCACCTTAGGCCTCTATCTATGTGTGGTGCGTTCCCATGCAGTTGCCTTGCACAGTGAAATCCAGATATTGCAAATGCCTCTCTTGACCATTTCTTTTCAGGCGTCAAACAGTGACAAGCACGCCCTGCTGGATAGAGCTTCATTTGAACGGTCCCCTTCAATGGTTGGACCGTGTCCTTAGTCAAATGGGCTCTCCTAACCATCCATGCACGTCAGTCAGCTAGACCAAATCAAACTCACCCCCGAACCCAGCCGCAAAGAAGGCTTATTGCTTCCACCACCTACTCCCCCTTCTCCCGCCCCCTCGCGCCATTCAATGTCTGACTGCACCCTGTTTTTTCCCAACTCTTGTCGCCAATGCATTTCGCTTTTTTCTCGACTGCTTCTTTTTACCCAACCGCCGAAACTGCTTCCACATATCTCCCTCCGCCCCCTCACTTGGCAATCGTGCTTATACATGTACGTACGTGTGCGTGTTCGAATGTGGGCCTGACTCCTCCACTCGCGTAGGACTTTGTGCATCTTCCGTTTCTGCACGCTTCTTGTATGACTCAACTTTCCTCTCCCCTCTCTGTCATACACACATACTCCCTCTCTTTTTATGTATTCTTTAATGATTAATAAAGACGGATAATATGCTGTCAAGGTGGGCTCATCCTTACACCAAGTGTTACTTTGTTACGGTTGGGTTGCTTGCTAATGGTGTGGTTGCATTATAATTTGGCATCTGATGTTCCTTCAGCAAAGACCTCTTTGTAGGTAACTTGATCTGCGTGGAAGTAGATCATAGTGGCGCGTTTCTTGTCTTGTTTTTGGGTTTCAACCTTTGGAATTGTTGGCATTTTCAGATGATGTTATTACCAATCCGCTTTGCCGTTCTGGTGGTGTTACCGTTGGTAATGTTGGGCATAAGAAACTCCACGAGAAGGGATTTCTTAGACTTTCTCTGCCTTCTCAGGCGCCTACATCATTTGTGATATTTAAGCGCAATACCGGATGACGTTGTCCGACGCAAGCTCAGTTTAGATTGATCGAATATGACACAGGACACCTCAGACAGAATCGACGGCTGTTCGAGTTGGTATGGTTGCTGTAGTACATAGTTGTTTAAATGTACCTTTTAGGTGGGAGGTGGTCAGTAAATACGAACCTCGTGACGGATCGGGCGTCATCGGACCCTAAGGTGGAAGCGTACCCTGAACATGTCCTCGTCCAAGTCGTTTGCATGTTCCAATGGTATTAAGATGTGGGTGGAAGAAACACCGAGAGTATTATACTGCATTGAACTGATAACTAATATGTACCGGCTACTTATGGGCTATGACCACATCAAGGAATGCGTTTTTGACAACAGCTGTACTAGGTAATTACGTGGTTGTCTTAGGTGGGTGGTAGAACGCGTTATGGTACACTAATCGCTAATGCCTTTACAGTGATGCTTCATGTAGCAATGGCTCCCAACCTTCTTTGAGAAGCTGTAATCTTGCTAAGGAGGTTAAACTGCAAATTTATTGCCAAGATTGCGATTTTAACTGTTGTCATTCAAGAGCGTTTGAGCCGATTGTCCGTAGTGTACCATCGAGGCGGATCATTTGTTGTCTAATTTGTGCCGATTGGGAAGATCACAGTATGTTAACTGAAAGTAGATTTGAAGGTTCCCATCTTGTTCAATCTTTTCATTGCCAATTAACACTTTGTGCCATTTCCTTTCAATGAGTTGTCGATTGCACTATTTGGCTGTTTTTCCTTGACGTTTTGCTCCAGTTTAAAAGAGCAAAGTAAAAGTTCTTGGTTTTTTTAAAAAGAACCAGCCAATATTAAAATATATGAGTGCTATCCTTGACTCATGATAGTTCTAAACTTTAGTTTTGACATTTTTGGACTCTCTGTCGCATTCTAGACAGTTGAATGGAAAATTTGCAAACTGTTGTTTCAACTTTGCCTCGAATTTTTAAACTTTTTACTCCGACATTCCAAATTAAATGTCTAAGACCACCATGAATCAGACCGTAAAGGTTGAAATACACTTTGTTCACTACATACTTTCTAGGCGACTTCTGTTACCGAATGAAATTACTTGTTTTACTCGGACAAAAATCCCAGGAAATGCACGATGTTATCTGTAATACACGTATGAACTTGAGAACTGTGTCGTAACCACTAAGTGACAAATATTCTATTCAAGCAAGATTGGAATAAGTCTTTGGTTTTCTTCGAATGTTGGATTTGTCAACCTGGGGTGCTCGAAACTGCATAGCGATCAAGGCTCTTATTTCGAAAATCAATTTTTCATCAAACTAAGGAAGACCTTCGAGATTTTTAAGAACATCCGCAAAGTAATGGACAGGTGGGAAGAGCGAGTCACACTGATTGGACTATTGAAGGCTTTCGCCAAGGATGCACAACCGGAAGACTGGGATTTAAGCCTTGGACAATGCCTCCTTGCGTACAGGGGTACGGTCCATACATCAACAAGCATTTCACCAAGATGCTCACGGATTGAAATGGGATTACCTTTCGATATCTTCTTATCAAATACGAAAGTAGCAACCAACAGTATCCCAGAGCATGTACTGCAACAAACCTTCAACAGTGTAGGGGACCAGTTATGACTGTGAAATCGCAGACAGATGCCACATTATGGCAAACACAGTCAATCTAACGTCTGCCGAGAAGGAGACCTGGTGCAGCTACACAGACCGATCTCTCCGCCTGGAGTACATTGCAAGTTTCATCAGCCTTGGAGCATAGATGCAGTTCTAGTGATAAAAGTCATCTCCCAATGCATAACCCCGTGCTCAACCAACCACCGTTCACCCCAACAAGATGCGCCTGTACAAAGGTACACCACCTGTCGGCTGCGAAGATGAGGTTCGCGTACTAAAGCAATAGGGAAGACCAACGGAAATGCTCCACACAGATACCGTCTATAGAAGGGAACCACCGGGGTTGGCGATCAAAAAGATGGGGGACTATGTGATACACGTATCGTATCGTTCAAATGTACCTTTTAGATGGAAGGTCAAAAATACGAACCTCGTGACGGATCGGACGTATTCGACACCCTGAACAAGCTTGTCATCGTCTAACTCGTCTGCTCGTTCCAAGGGTATGAAGGTAAAGGTGGAAGAGAGGAACACAGAGTCCATCACAGCTAATTTGTTCGGCTACTTGATTCCTACTGAAGGATTGACTAGTCCGAGGCCAATGCAAATCTTTCATTGTGCCTTCATGGTTAGTATGCATAATGTAAAGGTGCACTATTGGGTGAATTTCCAGCAAATTTCAAGTCTCCTCACAATTATTTCTGGTTTTTCCACGAATTAAAACTCATTGAAGTGGTCCAAATCAAAACAAGTATGATCACATTACTAAACTCATCGTCAACAATGTCGTTGTGCCAAACAGGGAAGAAGGGTAGAGGAGGAGAGCATGAAGGAGCGAGAGAGCGAGACATCAAGGATGTAGAGTTTGAGAATGCGACGACTACAAAATCTGTCATTGTTGGCCAATTTGGTCAGTGCTGGTGCTAGCCACAGGCTCCATTGCTGCCGTCGAGGACTCTTTCCTTAGGGCACCACCCCTGCCGTAGCACGCCGCCTTCCTCAGAGCTAGTTTGAGCGCCGTTCCGCTGCTATAACGTCGCCTTTTGGCTTGCGACTCGATGTGCTGGTTGGATGCAAAGCGGTGTTTTGGAGAGCGGATGAGGCTGAGGCGGGACTGTGTGGTGATGCGACGGTGATAACTGCAGTCGTGGCTATGCCGATCGGTTTCTTCCTCCGATTTCTCATCCTCATCTTCCTCTGCCTCATTGATATCCACCTTGTTCTCGTTGAGGGCTGTGGAGGAGCGGTCGCGCAGCTTCCGCTGGTAGAGCCGACTGCGGAAGGTGCGCGACCAAGCGGAGAAGTTCTCTCCTTGGCTCTGGCCTCCACTCTTTCCAGAGGCGTTACTCTCTGTTTCGGAAGTCTTGTTGGAGATGTTGGGGTATCGAAAGGATGAGGAACCAAAGCCGTTGACGTTTTTTTCAGCCTATGAGAAGACAGAGCTCTCGTGTAGTCAGTGTTTTCGATCGCATATTATTTATCTCTGGTACGCACTAGATTAATACCTTCAGCACCTACAATATATCGACTAAACTGTATGAGGCCATTCATTTAAGGAATGTTTGATTAAAACTACGATGTGAGGCTTCGGTAAATTGATATTTTGTCATATCCTACATTCATCAAGATACCAAAAGTGTCCCGCCAGGTCTTCAGTCAACACTGCCAAAGTACTATTACGAAAGCATTACTGATCAACACGGCGATGGTCCCAAAACCACAAAGTGACTTCAAAGATTCTGACCGAAATTCCAAACAGACTGCGATTATTGTTCAGGGCACAACCAGTAGATTGCTGACAAAGCTTGCGTAACTGCGTAAAGTCTTATTCGGCCTTAGAATCGGAATTGACATCTGGATAAGTCATCAGAGCCAGTTGTCCCTGCTGCACTCTGGAGAACCGGTATTCCAGCATGGCACCGTCTCCACCAGTAGACCCTGCTCAGCTGATTGCCAAGGTGCGACTGATCCCGGTTGACCAGTCCTGTCTACCAAGGCGCGGAACAGATTGTTTGCAAGTTGACGCTGGAAAGCATCACTGCTGACTTTTCCTATGAGGTCGGGTGTTGATGACATTTTAAATCCCATAGAGACTTTCCTGCCCCAATGTTCTAGAGGTTCCTATTAATTTCTTTTTACGCATTTATCCCGAGGATTTTCAACCTGCTTGGTCCATGTGGCTTGGAGATACTTTGAATGTCCTACCATCCACTGCAAGGTCCAGACCAATCAAACGGATGTAAATAAGCAAGAATGGCATCCAGCACTCTAGCAGAGTAGGAGTGTGTGCACACTCCGTGCGTTGAGTGTACTCAGGTTGTCGGCGTTAAGAATCTCTGCTCTAAGGTCCTCCTTTTGTTAATTATTTCTAGGTTTGAGAGAAACCAGTCTGAGGTTACACAAACGCGATTGTGCCTATCGTTCCGGATCACAGAATGGCAGAAACCCTCAGTGATATATGTATGGCCAATTTCGAAAAGCTTACTGTATTAAAATGTCTTACTACAGAATAGCTGATCATCCCAACATCGCATTTTACGGTGCTTGAAGTCATCTACGTAAATGGGTTCATTGACGAGCGACTTCATAATTACCCGCTTTTGCATGCACCCTGCCATTACTGCCCGACGTCTTGAGTAACGGTGTCTGGGCTGAGCCGGCTCATGGCGACATGTACACGTAAGGGGACACACTTACTACCTACTAGTGCGCATACCTCCATCACGATAGTATGCCACTTTGTTCTGAGCCGCTAAAATCTGAAGTCCCAGCTCAGTCTGAGCTTGCTATGGGCTAAACAAATGCATCTGAAACCCTGATGTTTGGTAGGGTCTTTTTGGCAATTAAAAGCGAAACCAAATCCGAAAAGACCAAAAGGCGTTATTTTCTCTTGCAATTAAATTAATTACACATGTGATAATGGATGACTACAGAGTTTGGCTGTGACCACCAGTTCACTCCTCTCAGGCCATCATAACAAATGCTTTTTAGAAAAAAAATTGGGTTATTAGCTAATCACGCCTTTTTTCCTCTTTGGCTACTTGATGCCTAAAATCAAGCTCACACCAAGATCACAAATTACCTTCATTTATGAATCAATTTATATGGAGGCGGAAAACCATCACAGGTTCTAGTGCTACTTGAAAAAGAGAGACTAACCATCTGGCAATTAGATATTAGATATTTTTAATTTTAATGCTTTTGCCTAGAATTAGTAAGTAACAAACAAGAATGAGTGCAATCTATTAATATTTAACTCCCAAAAGCTGACTTGTTTAAATATGCACCATTTGGATGGTAAAGACATGCCAGTGTACAGTTCAAGTGGACATACACGAAAAGAGAGCAGGTGAACAAGAACTTCTTTGTTGACATTGTTGGCGTTGACGAGTAAAATGTCATCGTTATGGCTAGACAACCACCACAAAGACTCCGGGATTTTAAGGTTAAAATGATCGAGTGCTCTGTAATCTGTTGATTTCATGCTTGTCTGGTCTGAATCACATAGGGGCGATCACGGGTGGTGCATTCTTGCTATTCCAGAGTATAAGGGAGCCGAAAGAAAGTCATTTCAAGTGATTTTATCTGACCTATCCACTGGGGCTATCGTCAAACCAATGGGTTGGTTTCGTGACAAATGATCATGATTTCGCCAAATAGTAAACAAAATATTATCTAGCTTTGAAAAGTGTTTTACAGTGGGAAAAATTTAGCTCTACCTATGGCAGAAACGTTAGACCTGCAAACAATTGGGAGGGACAAAGGTGATATTTCTCAAAAAAACATAGTTGTTATTGTTATCACAAAACAAAGAAGTCGAAAGCATCAGTTGTTGGTTTATAACAGACCAAGAAGAAGAAGCGGTTCGCTCCAACTATAATCCTAAAATCCATAAAAGTCATCTAGAAGGTTTTTGTTGCTGTTGCGTCTTATCAATATGACCGTTATGTAAGGCAATCGGTGAATTTAATGTAGCACGCCATAGGAATTGACATTTGAAGCCACACAGATCCTTTTTTAATGTAGAAGCAAGTGTTTACAAAGTTTTTAAGCTCTAATCATTAGAACACACGGCAAATATTTGGTAGGAAGAAGGCCTTGACCAAGAAATAATAGTTAGGCCGAGTGGTACTTGTCAAAGAGAGCTGTACCTGGCTCACGATCTCTTTCACTATCTCGAGATCCTCCTGAAGGTTCTTCCGGTGAATGACTTGCAACGGATCCCTTCCAAGCTGGTGCAACCGCTCTGCGGCAACTGACTCCAGGGTGCGCCGCATGAAGGGGTAGTTCTGTAGAACATCCTGGAAGCTGGCTCTGTCCAGAGCGTAGAGGTTGCAGTACGTTTCTGCGCGCACACTAGCTACGCGCCGGGCATTTGTTAGGAGACAGATCTCTAGGAGACAAATACAGCAAGATTCAGTGACGACTGCAAAGTGATCAGGTGCACTTTCCAAAAATTAGTCCCATTTTCTTTGGGTAACGAGCCTCACCACTTTTTAGTTTAAGCTACTTGGTCAGTTTTAATGGTTCTACTGTGCAGCAAATAAAAATATCCGCAGAAATATATATTTAATAAGAAAATTTTGGTTACTCCATGCCGATTCTGTCAATCAGGTATTGAATTCCAAGAGAGTATTTTCGGCAGCAATCCATGATTTTATTTGCTAGACCATTAAGTTGTAATTATTCCATCTGAATCATAAAATGTGAACAGATATGTGGCGCCGTTTTTGCGTGAAACCATGGTTATTTTAACCAAGGATGTTAACTTTAGTGCAGGTAAAGCATACTACTGGTAAATTTCAGTAATAAAATCTGTTGGAATGGTGATTTGACATGCAGAATTCATTGTTAAATTATGATAATACTGAACAATAAGGTGAGAATGTAGTGAGACTTCCCCGAGGACGAAAGAAGACATAACACTAGGGCGGAATATGTGTTACTGACGTACAGAAAAGCTTGGGGGTTACTGGCATGGCCCGAAGGCCAAGCTGACTACCGGCGATACAGTTACGGAGCCTTGAGTGACTCATTACCAGAATCAAAAGTTAAATAAATGTTTAAAGTACCATGGAAAACATTACAAAAGTGTAGACATTACAAATAAATAACCCACATTCGATTAAATTGGCATATTGTACACACTAGTGAAATGATTTGATGCTTAAAATATCAGAAAAATTAAACGATATTTAATGAATTTTGTTGATTATCTAGAGCATAGGAGACAACTTGTTTGCCATGTAAGTACTGTAACAAATCATTCTGCTGCGCTTGGATACAACCGAGGGTTTTATTCAGACCCCTTTATTTTAAATAGCTTTATCAAATGGTAATTCTCTAACGGATGACAAGTGACATTACTTATTCCTGTGTTTAACCTCCAAACTCAACCAATATTGTTTCTTTTAAAGGGAGTCTATTTGTTTTAAATGTCACTTTCTATATAAATGTAGCAGATGATACAAAATTGGTGCGAATCGTTGGGGAGAAATTTAATAGGTACAGAACACTTCTCCTACCATTTTATCTTTCAAAATAATCACCATTGCAAGCTCGCATATTTCCTCAACTGGATGACACGATCTAATTTTGCCTTCATGTACCGTCCGATTAGCAGAACCAAACAAACTGGCTCTGGCCACTTCAACTCCCGTCTCACTTTTACTTCTAGACTGCTTACATCTCATGTAACTGTCTGCTGACATGCAATGTTGATGAGACCTAATTGGAGACCTGCAATCAAGAGAATGCGTTAAATAAGGACGAGTATAAGGTAGTAGCTTGTTCTCTCTCTTCTCCCAACATTACTAAAGTGAAAATCTTTTCATGGATCAGGTTATTGGCAGTATGAGGCTCAAATTATCGTGTTGCCTTATGGTAATGAGCAGAAGACCTTGCTTCCACCCATTCACTTGTTTTGACTGTTTCTGTAGAGGACGTTGTTCCCACACACCTTCCACTTGTATCGAGCTGGATCGAGGAGACGGACGTCAGGCGCAACTGTTTGCTCTTCTGCAAGTGGTCAACCACCGTTGAACATCCCGTCCGCGGTTCGACACGGGCACATACACACGCACAAAGCAAGTGAGGTTATTTGGAGATGAAGTGGTGTGAGCCTTAGAAAGGAGGAATAGTGAGAGGAATTATCGGGGCTAATCACCATTGCTATGTACGTTTATGGTACACTCGGCAAATGGCGGTTCAATCATTGGATAAACAATCTAAAGCATACGGTGCGTTTTTACATGACGAATGAAGTGGTGGAAGAAGCAGAGG